ATTTGGTCACCTTCATTGATGTCCTTTAAGGAAAAAAAATATGTATTTCTTTTAATCTGCCAGAAGGTGCATGTGCTCACCTGAAAGAAAGAAAGTAGAAGGAGAAAGCAACCCCTGGTGGGACATGGTCACACCACAATCGCTCCTCCATTTCTCCATCTTGATGGGGTTTTGTGCATGCATGCATATGTGCCTGGCATATTTTCCAAGCCAGAACTTGAATGATGCTCTCAGCCATGTGGGATCCAGCTCTCTTAACCAGCAGGCCACATAGCCAGCCCTAAATGGTATCCTTTGTAAAAATATGTTTTCTAATTATTCATGGGTGGTGTATAGAAATGTAATTGACTTATACTATACATCTAGCAACATTAAACTATTATTGCTAGTAATTGTTTAGCATTTTCTTTTTATTTTCTATGTAGACAATTACTTAAATCAGAAAATGTGTATTACTCATGTCTTTCCAAACCTTAGGTCTTTATTTTTTTGTAATACATTTCTGAATAGAAATGATGATTATAAGCATCTTCCTCTTGTTTCTAGTTTGGAAAAGACTTCAAATGTTTCTGTTTTCAAAGATGAAACCGTCTTGCCATTCCTAGGGTTAAACCCAACTTGGTAATATAGCATGTTATCTTTCTTACAGTGCGTTGGATTTACTTCACTAACAATCTGTTTAGAATTTTTGTGACTATTCTCTTAAGTAAAAATAAGGTTCTTTTTGTTTTGCCACTGTCCTTGTTTAATTTGACAAGTTCAGAGAATAAGATGAAATATATTTCCTTTTCTTTCTATTATCTACATTTTGTAAGACTGAAGTAACCTAGTCCTTGAAAGTGTGGCAAAACTACTTGTGAATTATCTGGATTTGTGGTTAGTTGTGGGAAGATTTTTACTGCTTCAGGTTGGATAGTTAGAGGATTTTGTGGGCTTTCCATTCCTGCATGAACCAGTTATAGTAAGATGTATCTGTCTATTTTTCTAATTGATCCTAGGTTTACCTATGGTTATAGGTAACCCTTTTAATTTATGGTATTTGTATTTCTTCTTTTTCTCAGCTTTCCAAAGGGGATCATTTTACCTTTTCCCCCCACAGAACCCACTTCTGGCTTTATTAGTTCTTTATACTACTATTGTGTTTTCTAGTCACTGATTGGTCTTATCTCTATTATCCCCTTTCTATTTTCTTTGAGTTTTTTCCCTTCTCTTTAATGTAGAAATATAGTTCATGAATATTCAGCTTCTCTAGTATAAGCATTCCCCTGAAATAACACTTGGCTATATCCCATACATTTTGCTATATGTCTGTTATTCATTTCTAAGTCTTTGAAAGTTCTCAATTTAATTTCTTTTTTGACCTGCAATTAGGTAGAAGTGGAATTATTAAATGTCCAGATTAAATTTTTCCACATGGGGCTGGCAGGTGGCATGGTGGTTGAGGGTGCTGGATTCCCACATGGCTGACCATAGTTTGAGTCCTGGACCTGGTGGCTTGCTCTCTCACTTCCCCCCTACCCACTGAACAAGCTGGGAAATAATAATAATAATAATAATAATAATAATAATAATAATAATAATAAAGGTAACTAAAAAGTAATTCTTAAAAAAATTTTTCCACATGATCTACTGAAGGGCACTTCAGCCAGAGAGATTAATATCATAGTTAAATTAATGGTTAAATGTTTAGGGCTCTGAGAGCAAATAGATCTGGATTCAAAACATAGCTCATTCATTCACTCAGGTCCTCATTCAACAGGTATGGGGAAACAACACTAAGCAGACAGAAATCCATGCCCATGGGGCCAGCAAGTGACATGGTGGCTAAAGTGCTGGAATTCCCACATAGTCAACCAAAGTTCGACTCCTGGACCTGGCAGCTTTCTTTCTCACTCTCCCTCTCTCTCTCTGCCTTTCTCTGACAAAGTTCATGTGAAAAAACAATAATAATAATAATAATAAATAAAATAATACTGGAAGGAAGGAAGGAAGGAAGGAAGGAAGGAAGGAAGGAAGGAAGGAAGGAAGGAAAGAAAGAAAGAAAGGGAGAGACAGGTGGTATGGTGGTTAAGGTGCTGGGTTCCCATGTTGTTGACCACGGTTCAAGTCCTGGACCCAGAGGCTTGAAAATCAGGCTGGACACATGAAGAAAGAAAGAAAGAAAGAGAGAGAAAGAAAATCGATGCCCACATAGAGGTTATATGGTATATGCTCTGGTTGTATCAACCTGGGGGAAAAAAAATCACTAAATTCTCCCCTATAGATCGACTCTGTTACTTGTCAAATGAAAACAATAATTACTCTTATTTTGGAGAGCTCCTAGAGAAGTTAGTGAGATAAAGAACCCAGCACAGTGACTAGAACAGTCAACATTTTAGTAAGTGTTTGCTACTGCCATTTGGCTAGCTTACTCAGGAAGACCCTCCTCACCCTAGCACTCACAGTTTGAAACTTTTCTACGTATTCCTCTAGAACACACTCTGTTGACCTCTAACATAATACTCAGGCATAATATCACAATTACTAATTGTTACATCTCTCACCAGACTGCCAATTTCTTAAGGGCAGGACATAGTCATATTTTATCCTAGCCCCAGCACAGGACCTGACACATATTACATAGTAAACAAGCACATTTGGAATTACTAAAAGAACTTGAGACAGATTCAACAATAGAAAGCAACTGTGTGTTACTGAGATATTAATTTAGTTAAAGAATATTGATAAAGTCATCTACCAACCACCCTTAAAGGTATGGTGTAGGTATGAACAAGAGAGGCAAAATTCTGCTTTCATGCTACTTACATTCTGGGAGGAGAAGTATATACCCAAGATGGTTATGCGCTTGAAGAAAAACAAAGCAGACTCAAGTGGGAAGGTGGGTATTTTGTATGCAGTGGCCAAGGAGAGATTGGAAAGACGCAGGGGCAGATGAGAGGGCTATCTGGAGCAGTATTCCAGGATAAAGAAAGTGTTAAGAGCTAAAGGTCCTTACTTCAGAGTCAAGGACAGCAAGGAGCCAGCCTGATGGCAGCAGAAGCAACAAGGGAGAATGGTTCTGCAAGTTAGTGATCCAAACCAAGGAAATAGGACTCTCAGACTCTGACTCGGGGCTTTCAGAATAAACTAGGTAACCCTGGCATTGAATGATAGGTTTAAATTTTTCTAAACAGAACTGTCTTATGTTGACTTTGCATAACTATATCCCCAAGAATTTTAGAGTAATTGTTTCAAGAAAGAAATCTAATTCTTAACCCATTCACATTATCCGATTTTATAGATGACCATTTGTCCACATAAAAATCTTTATAATGCTCTTAGAAACTGATTTTTGCCTCTGCACAGCAAACACTTAATCTTTACCATTCTGACCAATGGTAAATGCCTTCTACTTTAATGGGCTTATATGCTCCTAGACTCAGCACTTACTGTTTTCTTCCAGGATTGCAAGTCTTGGCAAGTTTTGAAAAAATCCCTTTTGAGAGAGCTTTCAGGAGGCCAAACGCTGACTTCACAACCAACAACTTTACAACCCATTACTGGAACGCCATAAGCCACCGAGTCCCTGCTATTGTCTATGACTTCTATCTGCGACTAACGGGAAGGAAGCCCAGGTGAGAGCTGGGTTGATAGCCTTGAGAGTGTCACCACATGGGAGATGAGGGCCTCAAAGTCTTTACTTTCCCTTCTGCTGAGGACTGAAGGAGATAAGTGAATCACACAAACACACAAAAATAAATAAATATATATATATAAATATACACACACACATTTATATATATATATATAAATTTTGGGATAAACAAAGCAGTGGTAGGCAGAAGTCACGAAGGACTCCCATCTTAAAAATCCTCCACCAGGGCCAGCAGGTGGTGTAGTGGTGAAGGCACTGGACTCCCACATGAATGACTGTGGTTCCAGTCCTAGACGTGGTGCATGCCTTCTCACATTCTCTCATGCATTCTCTCTCTCTCTCTCATAAAAAAAAAAAATGATGGTAAATTAAATAAACATTTTTTAAAAATTCTCCACCATGGGACCAGCAGTTAGCATAATGGCTATGTCACTGGACTCCCATGTAGTCCACCGCAGTTCGAGTCCTGGACCTGGTAGCTTAAACTCACGCAGGGCACGTGTGCATGCGTGCCCAAGATCCCGAGAGGAGAATGGAGGAGAAGGGATTGCGACGTGGCCATCCCCCCGGGGGGTGATTTCTCGCTTTCTATCTCTCTATCTGTCTGTCTGGTGGGTGCACGTGCCCTATAGCAAAAACCTCTCCAAAAAAATAAAATTCTCCACCATAATAAAGAAAGTTGATTGTTAAAGAACTTGCTTAGTAAGTCTAGCAAGTAATTATCTACTAAAAAAAAAAAAAGTGGCTGAGACTGTCATGGAGTTTTCTAAGTCGTTACTCTTACAGCATGTAATGATGATAACGGCTTCATTTACTGAGCACTTACTAGCAGCACTCAGTGGGCTAAGGTGATGCACAACTATATTTATTCTCAAACAACCCTCTTCATCATCTTAATTTTACAAATGAGGAAACAGAAGCTAAGGAAAGAATTTGAAGTAGACTCAAAAGGAAGGGGCAGAGGAAAGATGTAGAGAAAACTGAATCGTAAAGCCAGTAGTCTGAACTGGACTTACTGCCACCTAGGGATGAGGGAAGACATGAAAGGGAAGAAAGTATGCCGAAGTAGCTGTCACCATCTAGTGTGTGACAGAGGGAACACCCCTTTATCTCTTTCTCTTTAGTAGTGTCAGGGGAGGCATCCTTATTAAATCAATAGCAGTTCCTGAATTCAATAACAGAGAAGTAAAGAGTACTGCCTTCTGTACTATCTCTTTATTTAAAAAGATCTCTTAGCGTGTTTAATCTTCATCTTTTTTTAAAAGAATTACTTTATTTAGCTTTATTTATTTATTTTAATTTGACCAGAGTGTGTGAGGGAGAAAGAGAGAGGAAAACTGAGAAAGCAAGCCATGAGGTCCGGGATTCGAACCACTGTTGGCTATGTGAAAGTCCAGCATCACTTGCCGGCCCCAAATCTTCATCTTTATTAATAGAGAAAATGACTAACAGGAAATATACAGGTTATTTAGTTTTTCAGAGACTTCATTGGAAGCTCATGGTTGAGCCTTTCTTGAACAGGGTGAAAAGGGACATTGTGATACAGAGAAAATATCCATATGGAGCTTACTAAATAAAGATAAAAAGGCAAAACAAAAGTGGGTTGGAATTTTGTCTCTGACACTTTATCTTAAGCTTATGTTATCCATGCATAAAAACATAAACACATACTAAAAGGATATTATGAGGATTAGCAGAGACAGCTTGTTTTTTTTTTTTTTTTTTTTTTTTTTGTAAGAGAGATTTTTGCTATAGGGTGCTTGCACTAGCTAGAGAGACAGAAACAGAAAGAGAGGAATCACCCCCTGGGGGTGATTCCTCTGCAATCTCTTCTCTCAGCATCTTGAGCACGCACACACACGTGCCTGGTATGAGTTTAAGTCTCCAGGTCTGGGACTTGAACCACAGTCGACCACATGGGAGTCCAGTGAAGCAACCATTATGCTATCTGCTGGTCCTCAGACAATATTTTTTAGAAATAAGTATCATCCTTATACCTAATAGAGTACTTATTATCAACAATAAGCTCTTTCTTCCTTAAATTTGCATTACAACTGACAACTGCTTTTGTTTCGCCAGATGCAATATAGCCAACACTTCTGCCCAGTTATATATATGACCTTGGGTCCTATGTGCATGTGTGTACACACACGTGTATATATCCCAGAATACACAACAAAGAAAAACAGCAATGTAATCATGCCATCTGCTGGTCCCAAGTTTGCTACTTTTGAGAAAGAGATAGTAGAAAAGAGGGAGATAAATTTGATGGTAGTAAAATACCTGGTAGAACAAACTTCTTCAGATGTATCCCCTTTATTTCCTACAACAGAGAGTTAATGTGGAAAGAAAAAAGGATAAGAATTTTAATGAGGAACTAGAGAAAAGAGGAGAAACAATTTTTGTATTTTCTTAAAAACGAGTTGTCACACATTGCTCTGGAACAGCAGGGAAGCAGCCATCTGGGTGTGCTGATATTTGCTCCTATGTGATCTTAACCTCAGGATGACAAAGCTCATGAACCGGCTCTTAAGAACCGTCTCCATGCTGGAGTATTTCATCAACCGGAGTTGGGAATGGAGCACCTACAATACAGAAATGCTCATGTCCGAGCTGACCCCTGAGGACCAGAGGGTAAGTATTGCACTGTCTTGAACGACAGTGAGATCTAACTCATTTGGAATTTAGGATCATTTGACCTGGAAATCTGATCAATACAGGAAATTTTGGTTGCATATACAGATTCTGTTTGTCTTCTGCTACAAAAATCAGTCAATGCTCTCAACACAACTGCAGAAATAAGTTTAAGGTGGGTAAGAAATCTAGGAGCTCTGCCTTTGATTACATCTTCACTGCTGCTCTGCAGTGTTTCGTCGATGACATTTCAAGCCTTTCTTCATCCCTCAATAGTTACCTTTACTATAAACACTCAGTACCTCTGGGCACTCTGTCTTTACCCTCCACAGCACATGACTTCAGTGAAAATAAAGATTTTATTGCTCATAATCTCTTACATCCACTATTTTTGTCAAATCAAAATTAGTCTGTATTTCTCCAGCTATAGTTCCTTTCTTTATTTTTGCCTTAGAGCACATGCACTCACCAGAGAGAGACAGACAGATGAAAGGTGAGAAATCACCTTCCCAAGGGGAAGCCCTTCTTGTCCATTCTCCTTTCAAGATTTTGGGCACCCATATGCTTGGCATGATTTTCAAGCCACTGGGTTTGGGACTTAAACCATGGTCAACTATGGGGGAGCCTAACACTTTAACCACCATGCCAACTGCTGGCCTCCCTGTCTTATTTATTTATTTTTTTTTTTTTTTAGAGGTTTTCGCTATAGGGTGCGTGCGCTCACCAGACAGAGAGAGACAGAGAGACAGAAAGCGAGAAATCACCCCCCCAGGGGGGATGGTCATGCCACAATCCCTTCTCCTCCATTCCCCTCTCGGGATCTGGGGCACGCACGCATACGCGCCCAGCGTGAGTTTTAAGTCACCGGGTCCGGGACGTTAACCGCAGTCGACTACGTGGGAGTCCAGCAACATAGCCATTACGTTAACTGCTGGTTCCCCCTGTCTTATCATTTTAAAGCTAATCCCTGTACCTGTGCCTTCTAGCTCATCCAAGACCTCCCTCCATCAGGACTGGCCATCATCCTCCCTGCAGTATTTCTCTTCAACATTCAGACTTTCATTGCTCAACGCAGGCCTTGACTTTAATTGCTTAGCATCAGTGCCAGTTATTTCCTGAGCTTCTTGGCAGTCACAAAGGATAAGTCCTAAAATCTTTGCAAATTCTGAATTCACAAACATCCTTATGCCATTATTAACATTCTCAACTCAATTTTAAGGTTTTGCTCTATCAGTTGACATTTTCCACTTAGAAGCATTTTTTAAAATTTTATTTATTTATTTATTTATTTATTATTCACATGAGTTTTGCCAGAGAAAGACAGCGAGTGAGAGAAGGAGAGTTAGAAACCAAGCCGCCAGGTCCAGGACTCGAACCGCAGTCAGCCATGTGGGAATTCCAGCACCTTAACCACAACGCCACCTGTTGGTCCCCTTAGAAGCATTTTTTTAAAAAGAGTATTATGAAGCATGTAGAGGAAACTGAGTCACACTGAGAAGTAAATTCTAGATGGCTGCCTCACTTCACCTGCCAGCCAATGTTTCACTCCTGCACACCAGCCTAAGGTAGTATAATTCAAACCCAAGGCCTAGAATTATATAATGTCATGGAATATAAAGGTATTTGTGAAATTTAACACTATAATAAATGTTGTATTAAACAAATCAAGTGTGTCATAGAGAAATATTTTATCTAAAATCATTAAAGTATCTCTCAAACTGACATTAAATACAGCTATTTCCAGAAATGTTTATAGACAAAATTTTTCCAGCACTAACTTTTTTTTTTGTGAGAAGTTTTTGCTACAGGGCGCGTGTGCTTGTCATAGAGACAGAAAGAGACAGAGAGACGAGAGACAGAAATCGAGAAAGCACCCTCCAGGGAGGATGGTCACACCACAATCCCTTCTTCTCCATTCTCCTCTCGGGATCTTGGGCACACAAACACATGGCTGGAATGAGTTTAAGTCACCAGGTCCAGAACTCAAACCACCGTTGACTACATGGGAGTTCAGCAACACAGCCATTACGCTGTGGGTCCCTCCAGCACTAACCTTTAAAATGCATGAATGAGGGATCAGCAGATGGCATAATGGTTATTTCGCTGGACTCCCACATAGTCGACCATGGTTCTAGTCCCAGACTCAGCAGCTTAAAACTCATGCCTGGTGCGTGTGCATGCATACCCAAGATCCCAAGAGGAGAATGGAAGAGAAGGGATTGTGACAAGGCCATCCCCCACAGGGAGGGATTTCTCAATTTCTTTCTCTCTGGCAAGCACTCATGCCCTATAGGAAAAATCTCTCAAAAAAAAAAAAATCTGCATGAATGATCAGATCAGCTTATGAAAAACAAAAATGTAAGGTAAATTCTTTTTAAAATCAGCTTCAAATTTTACATATTATTATCCTAATTATATTTTCTTCATGGAATTTACCTGTCTAAATAATTCAAAAGGTGGCAAATGAGCTTAATTTAACCTCTGGCACTTTACTATTTCATCCTATAATGGTTAAAATTTTGTTGGGAAAAAAAGAAAAAGAATCAAAGCTCTAGTGGATGTAACATATGCTTTCAAAGCATCTTCGCAGAGTTAACAGTCCTAAATGTAACTGCCATATTCTGATGTGACTCAGAATGCAGTCTGATTTGCCATATGGAATCGGAATTCCAGACTAGGGTCTCATGAAAATCTAACTTAGAAATGTAAAACAGTATAAAAATAAAAGCCTCTGTTTATAGAAATGAGCAAACAATATAAAGAGATCCTATGAAAAGCATCCAAACAAAACAGTAACAGAATAACTTTCCAAAAGCAATCCAGCCTTTGGACAAGTTCTCTGGAACTCATAAATCTCACTTGCTCTCCTTACTAACACTCCAAATGTCATGAAGGTTTAGCTATCTTGCAATAATTGCACTAAAAATAATAAAAATAGAAATAAAACAGCAAACAAGGTACAATACATATGAAAATATAAAGTCACAGATGAGAATGAAAAAAAAAAAAACAGAATGTCTGCATGTCACCTTAGTAGTTGCTATAGTTAAAAGCAGGGATTTGTTCTTGAGCTTTCTGGTGACAAAGTGAAAAAGAAAATATGGCACCATGGAACGTTTCATCCAAAAGAAGAAAGTATACAACTACTGCAGGAGAAGCAAATCTTTTCTTACCATTTCACTCTAGAACAGTCTATGAAGGGCTTCCAACAATTACTAAGACATAATGGCTAATACCTCTAAAGCAAATACAGTTAACAACTTTAAAAAAGTTATTTCTTATCATGTTTCTCTCATGAAAGTTGAGAGGATAACACCAAAAGCAGTATGGACAATGCATCAGCAAATGGCTCATTCATTAAACAGATGTTTAGCAAATGCTCAGAATGTTCAATACAACTATTAATATTTACTTCTCTCTCGGGAACCAGCAGTTAGCGTAATGGCTATGTCGCTGGACTCCCACGTAGTCGACTGCAGTTCGTGTCCCGGACCCGATGGCTTAAAACTCACGCCGGGCGCGTGTGCGTGCGTGTGTACCCAAGATCCCGAGAGGAGAATGGAGGAGAAGGAATTGCAGCGTGATCATCCCCCCTGGGGGGTGAATTCTCGCTTTCTGTCTCTATATCTCTCTCTATCTGTCTGGCAAGCGCACACACCCTATAGTGAAAAACTTCTCCAAAAAAAAAAATTTACTTCTCTCTCAGATCTAAGCAGTTTTCTGTGATTAATATGTAACATTTCTATTTGCATATAAAGGAAGTAGAATTAAGTAGTCCTAGAGAATTACTAAGTCATTAAGATGTCAAACTCAATTACAATTTTAAGAAAACAGAACTAATGATGACCTCTTAAGGAAAGAAGCAAGTTATGAAACAAACCTGCATAATCCCCAGAAAATAGTATGGCCATTTTAAAGTCAGTAAACTTTATTGTTAACGTTTAATTGGCTTGGTTTTGTTTTTGACAGTTTATGCCTTTTATTTTGTACACCATAAGCCTCCATCAACACTAGCTACCTGAAAAAAGGAAACTAAGAGTTTACTTTGGTCATATCTATTCCATACAATCACATGACAGCAGAAACTGCTATATGCCAAACCACTGTTGCTTTAAAAATTAAAATTAATTTGACTTTAGTTCTTCACAGTCAGCAAGTATTTTCCAAATGCTTACTTTGTACCCAGCTATTCTAGGTACATCATCTATTTGAATTAAGATTAAACTTCCTAATGAGACCTGACCAGAAGTTTAATCAGTTAAGTCTAATCCAACAATTTTCCTTCGTTATACACGAGGGGGACTCTCTACTGAGAATAGGCTTTCAATGGGCAGTGACCTGACAACTTCATGGCCAAGGAGAAAAAGGTGCCCAAAGGGTAAGACTCAAGCACTAAACTCCACTTACTAAGACTTAATAAATACTGGAAATTTTTATACTATTGCACATTCACTTTTCAGGCCTCTCTCCCCAAATTAACCCTGTAGAATTCTCTAAAACCAAATCCGCCCAGTTAAACACTGGGACCAGGGATATCTAAAGCAATCTTTTCCTTGAAATTATTTCAATGGGCTCAGATCCAAATCCTCCAAAAAGTACCTACTATTTTACATATATCCAGAGATAATACTATGATCTTCTTGACACTCTTTCTACTGTTAAACCATTTGTATTGCCCTAAGTTTAATCGAAACTATTTTTTTCTATTATATTTGAAACTCACTCACTCCAATTAAGCCCTTTGGATTGAGGTTTTGAAAAGATGCTTGGTTGGCCCATGCTGACCCACAGTTTCTCTTCCAAATCAACCTGTCTCCATTTGTAATCCATATAAAGCTGGGCCCCTCATAATCCTATCTCAGTACAGCATCATTTTCAAAGAAAGTGTACCAGAAATAAATCTACTGAAAGTGGGGCCAGCAGGAACCATAGCAGTAAAGGCACTGGACTCCTACATGGCTGATCATGGTTTAAGTACTGGATGTGGTGACTTGAAAATTATACTGGTAGTATATGCATGCATGCCCAAATTCCAGGATAGAGAAGGGACTGCAGTGTGGCCATCCCCCTGGGGCTTGGGGGTGACTTTTCACTTTCCTGCTCTCTGTTTCTCTCTGGCTAACGCACACACTATGTGGCAAAAACCTTAAAATAAATAAATAAATAAATAAATAAATAAATAAAAATAAAATTCTATTGAAAATGATTCAAATCTGTCTTTACTCTAGCTTTTCATGACTAAAAAAAGATCATTTTTTAATCATGTAAAAATAAGTTTAAATCCTATTTCCTTATTGTCACTTTTAACATATGTCCTCTCTGTGATAATACTTTACCCAAGTAAATTAATCTGTTTCTTCCTTCTCGCTCTCAGATCTCTCCTCTTTTCTTTAAATTCTGCTAACCTATTCCTTAAGGCTTTTGCTTCTCGAAACTTACTTAACACTAATCGTCATGATAAAATGACGTCATGATAAAATACTAGGAAAAGATGGTAAGTTAAGGAGGATAACAGCAAATTTTAAGAGAAAACGGAAATGCATAATTTATGTTTTGGTTACTTACTAACTTTTGTTCTATTACTGGTTATTTATTTATTTTGTTTTTGTTTTTGTTTTTTGACATGAGGTGCCTGTGCTCGCCAGAGAGGGACAGAGAGAGGCAGAGAGGAGGAGAATGAGATGCCGCAATCCCTTCTCCTCCAGTCCCCTCTTGGGATTTTCGGCACATGTGCACACTTACCTGGCATGATTTTCAAGCCGCTGGATCCAAGACGTGAACTGTGGTCAGCCATGTGGGAATCCAGCACTTTAACTACCCACACTACCTGTTGGCCCCATTTTATTACGTTTTAAAATTATTCCTCACTTAATTGAAATGTATTAATAAATCAAAACAATCATAAATTTTTCACTAGAGCAAGTAATGCCAATTCCCTTAAATTTTCCTCACAAGACTTAAATGGCTAATGTTTATGCTTGGTCCACGTTTAAATATTCCTATGTAAATAATAATCCATATTATCAGGACCTTTGAAGTAATAGCTCAAATAATCTCTTCTTTGGAAGGGTTCAACCACGTCTCCCAAATGTTACTCATTTACGTAAAAGAAACTTCATCAAGGGACAAAATGTCCAGCAATGCAATTCTGGCAATCCATAATCTCTTGCCTTTCAGGTATTCAACTTCGATGTGCGCCAGTTGAACTGGATGGAATACATTGAAAATTATGTTTTGGGAGTTAAGAAATACTTACTGAAAGAGGACATGGCTGGGATCCCAGAAGCAAAGCAACACTTAAAAAGGTAAGCATAATCAGGTCTAGCCATGGTGGTGCATAGGCAGCATCACTGCTTGGAAGGCTGAAGTCTCATGGGAGGCCTGGGTCCAGTTCTTGGGCCAACCCAAACACACTGGGCAAGGCCGTGAGCACCTGTGATCCGAGTCCATTGGGATGCTTCTAAGACCCCAACAGAAACACCTATATCCTTCTCTCCTTCTTTCTGTCTTATGAGGGGTGGGGAGAGGTAAGCATAATCAATCAGTATTTATTGAACACTTGCCATATATCTTATTTTATATTAGCCATAAAATTTGAAAGGGAAGGGAAGAATTAATATTTATGACATTATAGACTTCAAAAAGTTTGTGAAAAAAATGAAATTAAAGTACAGGTTTATGTTGATACCCCAAGAAAATAAAATCCATGTAAGTTTTTCATCATACATACTTTCCATGAAGTTTTTAACCACCCCCCTCCCCAAGCCTCGCATGTCTTATGATACTCTGTTTCATTTAGAATTCACCACATCCCTACAAGGCACTTAGTCTGTTTTTGTTCCTCCATTTTTATCAAAAAGGCACTTAGTCTGAAAAAAGGCAAGTAATTTGTCTTGGTACTCCAGAAGCCAAAGCTCAACCCCAGTTTCTGTTTCCTCTACCACACCATCATAATGTAACAAATATTCACAGGCAGAAGACCTGATTAGGGTGTATAACCTGGGAAATTAACCAACCACTCTTCAATTTCTTCAACTTCCTTAAATTTCTTTCAGTCATAATCCCTGAGGGTCAAGGAATTTTGACACTGTTATAATTCTGGTAGAAACAGAGACTTTGTAGTACAGAGATGGTAAGAATGGAAAAGTAGATTGCAAACAGGGAAGAACCTCAAACAGGCTAAAATTTTTAGAACTTACTCTCTGGTGGACAAGAACCAGTAAAGATTTATTATAATATGGTAATATGATCAAAATATATTTATGAATGATTTTGCTAATCATCTTGGAAAAATAGCTTTAAGTAGAGAGAGGTATAAGACAGAAAAACTAGGGACATGTGGTAGAATGACAAATGTTCAGTAAAAATGTTCTAGAAATGAAATATCCAAAAACCCAAAGACCATCAATCATGCCACATACTCTGTGAACACTTAATATTATTTGCCTTTTTTTTTTCTTTTTTTTTAGGTTTTTGCTATAGGGCGCGTGCACTCGCCAGACAGAGATAGACAGAAAACGAGAAATCACCCTCCCGGGAGCATGGCCACGCCGCAATCCCTTCTCCTACAATCTCCTCTCGGGATCTTGGGCATGCATGCACGCACATACGCCTAGCATGGGCTTAGGCCACTGGATCCAGGACTGAACCACGGTCAACTACATGAGAGTCCAGCGACATAGCCATTACACCAACTGCTGGTCCCAATATTATTTGCTGGTTACAATCAGGAAAAGACATTTATGCTTCACATAATGTAGCGAGGTACTTGGTACTGTTTTAACTTTGGTTATGTGTTTGTTCCCCAGGCTCCGAAATATCCACTACCTCTTTAACACTGTCCTCTTCCTTATCGCCTGGCGCCTCCTCATCGCAAGATCTCAGATAGCACGGAACGTCTGGTTCTTCATCGTCAGCTTCTGTTATAAATTCCTCTCCTACTTTAGGGCATCCAGCACACTCAAGGTCTAAGAACGCTCAGCAGCCACCGTGTATCTGGAAACTGAGATACTTCTGAAACAGCAAACTGTGGTTCTCAAGAATAGGAATATGCCCAAACTGTCTAATGTCCACTGTGTTGTTATGTATCAATCTTATTTTTTAACTATATACTTTTTATTTTCGTGAGAGAAGGAAAGTCATAAACTAGCCTATAACCACATATTTCTGGGAATACAAATTCCAGATTATTTCCTAATACTCTTTTATGCCCTTGCATAAGGAAGTACTTCTATCTTTCTATATTTAGTTTTCCTTTTCTCCTGGAGGTGGTTAATTTTGACTCCAACATGAAAGAACACACTGTAGAAGTTACAATAAGCTAAAGAGGCAGTACTGAGTTCAGACCCATTCTGAGATACCCAATAGAAAGGCTTAAAATCAAGACAAGTAGAGGAAGGAGGGTCTCAGCATCCTCACATATGCTCTAAGAGAAGTATATCACTCACTGAAAATGTCTCTCATTTCTGTGGTGTTCCGTGGAGTCCTGGTTGAGAGGTGGGGGAATTAGAAACATGAGCTCACATTTACCATTTTTCTTAACTACATCCACTTCTTAACCTTAAAAAGGAACAAGTGTAAATAATTATATACAGGAGAGTGTAAAGAATATTTGCATTGTGGACTCTAGCTTATCATGCTTTTAAGTGAGATTAATAGCTTTTCATCATCTGAATTTGACAACTACTATAGCGTTGCTTGCCAGAGACAGAGAGACATAAAGTGAGAAATCACCCCCCTGAGGGATTTCTCCTTCTTTCTTCTTTCAGGATCTTGGGCACACATGCACGTGCACCTGGTGAGTTTAAGTCACCAGGTCCAGGACTCAAACCATGCTCAACTACGTGGGAGTCCAGCAACATAACCATTACACTATCTGCTCGTCCTGATTTCTAATTCTTTTTAATCACAATTTTTTCCTGTAGCCTTCTCCAGAGTGTTTCCTTCGTGTTTAGAACTCATATATATCTAAGCCTATTTCACTCAGGCCTGAATTAACAGAGGTTAATAGGAAGAGGAAAGGTCTTAAGACCCCTATAAAAACCCAGTCCTTTGCCACTGAGGAAAGCAAAATTATAAATGAACATTTTAATTCTAGTTTTAGTCTAATTTTTGTATGAAGTGGGAAGACTGCTCTTCCCTGACCACCAGATTGGAACTTGATCATTCCAATTGCACAATTGTACCTGTGCAATATACAACAGGAAAGTGAGTAACTTTATTTAATGACTCTGCACTGAGGTTTTGTTATTTAAAAAAAATATATTATGTATAATGCAAACAAATTAGTAAAAACTATATTCTCAAATTTCTATACTAATAATATAAATGTTATCCCAACTTTCCTCAAACTTCAGAGATGAGAGCATGTTGGATTGTAGAACTTCTCTATGTTAAAAACATGAAATATTTAATATGGTATTTGGGACCTAAGCAGTTAAAAATAATCACCACAGGACTACTTATAAATGATGTAGGTGTAAACTGTCTATGAAGAATGGCAGTTAGTCTTATGCTCACTTTCTAGAATACTTCAAAACACTCAGAAAGGCACACTCGGGCAGCTGAGGGGCACAGGCCTGGGGGAGTACATGGCCTCATGTTACCTGAGCTCTCTACAGGATGTGGGGGGGAGCTGTTCTGAGCAATGTGTTTCCCATTCTCATCTAACTTCTGAGAATGACTTTTCATGGCAGACCACCCAGCGCTGAAATAAGGCACTTTGCAACCTTTACTTTGAGATGTCTATGATACTTTTGTTATATCAATTAAAATACAAACTATAGATAGCATAAAAATATGAAATCAAGATATAGCTCAATGGGACTGAATTAAAACTAATGGTTCTAAGAATTTATTCTTTTGATTACTGCTGTTTCGCCAATTCAGTAACTCCACTGACCAAGTATTCACATTGACTTTTGATTAAATAAAAATTTGAATTAAACATTCCCCTCTCTTGTGGTATTGCTTGTCTGTTGACTACTACAGATTTCCCCACCCCACCTCACCCCACCTATGGGAAAAAAGAAAATCCAAAAAATTCTTCCAACCAAATCAAATGAAAAATAGCTGTTTAGTATATAGCGCTTCACTTTTTCTCACACTGCTAGTACCATTACATTTACCTAACTGTTCTACCTGCGGTATCAGAGAAATGACATGAATAAAATTCTGTTGCGGTATCTGTACAGAAGAAATTCACCGATGTGGGGGGTGTCTTCAAAAAGTTCATGGAAAGTGCATATCAAGAACAAATTATGCATGGATTTCAAAAAATTCTTACAGCAAAATAAACTTATACTTTAACTCCATTTTCCATGACCTTCTGAAGTCTCCTTGTGTTTAGTCACATCCAGACCAAATTAACAACTATGGGAATGCCATGAGAAAGACCCTCTCACTTTAGGGGGGAAGGAGATGGGAAGTACAAAGAGGTATCAACATTGAAAAAGAAGTGTTGAGGCCCAGTCAGTTGCATGGTGGTTAAGGTGGCTAGATTCCACACGGTCAACTAAGAGGTTCAAATCCCAGATTCAGAGGCTTGAAATACACACCAGGTGTGTATACGTGTATCCAAAATCTCAAAATGGGAATGGAAGAGAGGATTGTGGCATGGTCATCTCTGCTCAGCCCCCAGTGGGGTTCTGATTTCTCACTCTCCCCACCTCCTCCGGTAAGCGCACATACCCTACAGTGATAAATAAATAAATAAAAGAGAAGTGTTGGGCCAACTCATGCCATGGTGGTAAGGGCAGCAGGATTCGATATGGCTGAATGCAAGGTTCGAGTTCTGGACCCAGCGACTTTAGAAACAAATGGACCATGTTGTTTCAGTGGGAGAGAGTCTCTCTCACTCTCTCCTCTCTCTTGCAAGCTAATGTGCCCTTCTGGCAACCTTGGCGGGGGGATTTTGGTAATTCCTAGAGTCTACACCCACAAGACACCTAGTACGATAGTAAATATTACAGACTTGGAGACGACCATTGCCCAAGGCAAGTAATACTAGAAAAAGTTGAGGTAGATGGGCACAAATTTACAAAAATACTTTCTACAATTTCATATAAATCTAATCATATCATCACCTCCAGTTAATACCTCATTTAAGTAACTAATTTAGAACCTCATGGAAAACAGACTGGTCTAATACCCAAGTAGTGTATTATCTTACAATAAATATAAAAATAAGTCAATTCGCCTGAAGTTTCCAAAAACAATTATTTTCAGATTTCACAGGAATCACATGCAAAGTTCAACACAACTACTTTTCTAGAACTTCTATTCTTAATAATGTCAGAACTGCTTATCGGAAAAAGGTATGGTTGCACATATGCCCACAAAGATATGGAAAAATGCTAACTGCCTAGATTACATTTTAAAAAATGAACAAAGACAAGCAATTGGTGGTTTTAAGATGTAATTGGTTGGGGTTGGCCCTGTGGCCTAATGGTTAGGGAAGCACAATCCCACAGGGCCAATCACGGTTCAAATCCTGGTCCCTGTGCCATAAAAACCATACCAGGTGCATGTGCAGGTATGCCCAAAATCTCAACAGGATGGAAAATGGAAGGGACTGTGGCATGACCATGTCCTGGGGAGGGGGGGTTCTCCGTCTCCCTTTCTCTCTTACTCTCTCTCCAGTGGGTGCATAAACACTCTGGTCATTTATTAAAAAAAAAAAAAAAAAGATGTAACTGAAGGTACCCTGAGAAGCATAGATAGTGCCAAAAAAGGATGCTTAACTGGAAACTTAAACATCTTAAGTTTAAACAGCCAGAAACATCTTTTATGATACACATTTTAAGTGTGTCCCTATTTTATTCAAAAAATTGATCCCAACCTGGAACTGTAAATGGGGAGAGAAAGATGAGATTCGGCAACTTGGATCAATTCTAGAAAGTCACCTTAAAGGTAAATATGGTACAAGAAGTCCCAACTGCCTGAAAATAGAATACAAAAAGCTTATGAAGCATTTGTTACACATATGTAAGTGTTGCTGAAGGTCTGTTTAATATATACCTTTAATTAATGTGATTTCCCTTGCACCTTCTTTTTATCGTAATTACATAAAATAGAATATGAGTTATGATATGTAGAAGAGTTAACTAATTTTCTGTTAGACATCCAATATTATCTGGAGTTGCTAAAACAAAACTAAAATATTTCTCTGATTAATCTTTATTTACAGGTTTGCAGACCTACATGAGTAACACTTTCAATTTTCATTTTTAATATGGAAAATATAAAAAAAATCCAAACTCATATAGAACTTACCTCCATCTGGAGGAAAAGCAAATTTAAGTTGTATTTAAAGATTCCTGTTAGAATGGCAGGTGGCATGGTGGCTAGGACACTGGACTCTCACATGGTTGAACATGGTTCAAGTCCCAGCCTGGCAGCTTACCTTTTCACCTTCTCTCTCTGGACAAATTAAAAAAATAACAATAAATAAAATTAAAAATAAAATGATTTTTAAAAGATTCCTGTCATTTTCTTCTATGACAAAAGAAGTTTAAATACGAGAAACTGAGGTTTACTGGGAGATACATGATCTTAATTTCCTACCAGGATTAAAAGGACAGGAAATAGTTTTATATTTGTCATTTTATTTGGAGTCCAAATGTTTGTGGTTGAGCCATTAAATTAATGTCTCAGGTTCTTTTCTCTTTTTAAAAATAAAAATTTAAAAACTGAAAAATCAAAAAATTCCAAGGTACTTTGTTTTCTACTCTTAAAAATACAAAGTAATTTCATTACCACAGAAATATTTCAGAAAGGGAGAAACTATACTTTGATTACACAGTCACAAAAAGGGAATAGTTAGGTCCTGACCAGACATACTGTAAGACAGTAAACAAAGGTTAACCTGTTTGGATGGCAGCGTCAAAAAGGGTGACTCACTCTGGCATACTGAAGTTCAGTGAGTGCTTAAAACAGGAGCGGAGCTACTGGGATAGTGTGCATGCTAAGATACTAAAGGTCCCAAGACATGGGTTAAAGTAATTTTTTTAAATTAATTATTTTTTTTTTGAGAGGTTTTTGCTACAGGGCGTGTGCGCTCACCAGACAGACAGAGAGAGACAGAGAGAAAGCGAGAAATCATCCCCCGGGGGGGGGATGGTCACGCCGCAATCCCTTCTCCTCCATTCTCCTCTCGGGATCTTGGGCACGCACGCACACGCACCCGGCGTGAGTTTAAGCCACCAGGTCTAGGACGCAAACCACGGTCGACTACGTGGGAGTCCAGCGACATAGCCATTACGCTAACCACTGGTTCCCAGGTTTAAGTAATTTTTAAATAGTCAAAATTACGTCTCTTGAACTCAAGTATAAACTCAGTCTGAAGCAGAAAAGCTGCACATAAATTTACTTTTTAGTACTTGAATTACCAACTCAAGACGTAAAGAAATAGAAAGCATAGTATATCTCTACAATACTATTTAAAAAATTAAAAGTTCTTGCTTATTCCTTTATGAATTGAAAAGATAGTAGTAAAGATTACAATTTTATTTGTATTAAATGATTATACAAATTCAATGCTTTCTATCTAAAAAGGTATGAAAAAAGCGTCTCAATCACCTAAGCTGAGACTTAGAAGAAGTCTTATAATTCTAATTAAAATCTGGTTTTTTTTTTTTTTTTTTTTTGGTCACAGAGGACGTGGGCTTGCCAGAGAGAGACAGTGAGAGGTGAAGTGAGAAATCAATCCCTAGAGTGGGTGGCCCCACCACAATCCATTCTTCTCCTGGGATTTTAGGCACATACACACATGTGCCTGGTGTGATTTTCAAGCCACCAGAATCCGGACTTGAACCATGGTCAGTCATGTGGGAGTCCAGTCCACCATGTCACCTGCTGGTCCCTGGAGTTAAGCTTTATCTAAGTGGTCTAAAGTACACAAAACACTGTAGCAGTGAATTATTCACCTGAATATTTAGTAATCTTTATAGGCTAATATATGCAAACAAAGCTTAAAAAATTCAATTTCATATAATTTCAGGCCTCTGCCATTTAAAATATGTAGGATGGAATAACTAGATAGATAGACAGATATTAGTACCCTAATAAAATGAAAAAGAGAATTAGTAAGAGTAATAAAGGCTTAGGGAAATTATATTAATAGGCAGGTCAGTAAAGTGCTCTCCACAATGGAAAAGAAACACTTGAGGAGGCCAAAAGCTAACAGTCCTAACACTTACAAATGTCCCTTCATCATTCAAAGAGCTGGTGAGAATCTTAACACTTTCACTGCCAAAATTCTAACCTATCTGAGAAATTTCAAATGGAAGCATTTTTCAATTTTTAAAATGGAAATCAATGGCAAAGCAGAATTTTGCTTTACAGTAATTCCTTTCATAGTTCAATTTTAATGGGACAGATGGCACTTGGAAAACACAGGAACCATTAGACATCATATATAAGTACTAAAATAATTTTTAAATACTTTAAAAAAATACTTAACTGTTACAATCTTAACTGAAAGAAACATCAATACTGTTTTTTCTCCCATTAAAAAAAAAATATATATATACCCTGAAACTTTATTGAATCTTCCGACAAATTCAGAGGACCAACAGAAAGTCAAAAATAGCCAAACTATTAATTCCCTTCAAATTCCTTTTAAGAGATGTTCTATTACTTCCTAGCCCAACTTTGTGGGGAATATCATCTGAAGAGCAGAAATTAAAAGCCCAAAGAAGGCTCATTCATAATTGATAAATTTCTGGATTCAAAAATCTTTTACGGAGGAACAGCCATGTAGCACAGTGGTTTCAGGGGTCAGATCCCTGACTGCCCTGGTGCTGGTGGCTTGAAAAACACCCCAGGCATGTGTACATGCTTGAATACCCCAAATCCAAACAGAAGGGAGAAATGGAGAAGGGACTGGTGTGACCACACTAAGGATGCTTTCTCCCTCCCGCTTTCTCCCTCCCTCCCTCCCTCCCTTCAGTCCTTCCTTCCTTCCTCTCCTTTCTTTCTTTCTTTCTTTCTTTCTTTCTTTCTTTCTTTCTTTGGTGAGCACATGCACCCTTTGGCAATTTAAAAAAAAATCTTTCAAGGCATATCATTTATGTTAGCCAGTTAATTTCATACCTCTTAATTATAATGTATATTTTTAAACAATGATGCTTGTTATTTTCTGTAAGATAGCATTTTACAGGAACTTTACTGAACGGTAGATCTGTCACTATTTCTCATTTTCTCCACTATATTGTGTATCCTTTTCTTAAGTATTTTTTAATCTTTCCAAAAACAATACACTTGAAAAGCTGTAACTTATGACCTCTCATCCTCTAAAACCATTTAACTCTATTCTTTTAATCTGGTTACTTACCTAGAATTTTGTTTCCTCATTTCCCTAAATGATTTCAACTTTGGAAAGTAGTCGATGATGATTTTATTTTTATGCTTTTTGTCAATAGGGTTCATATGCTTACCAGAGGCAGAGACAGTGAGGGGAAAGTGAGAAATCACCCAAGGGGAGATGGCCATGCCGCAATCCCTTCTCCCCCATTCTCCTCTGGAGATTCTGGGCACACACACACGTACCAGGCATGATTCCCAAGCTACCATGTCCGGGATTCAAACCACGGTTGGCCATCTGGGAGTCCAGTGCCTTAACCACTACACCACCTGCCCCCGATGATGATTCTGCCATCATTAAGCATTATAAGAGGAAAACTGAAGTTGGCACACATATTCCAAATACGGTTTTTAATGGCACCTGAGTGATAGCTTCCTCTAATTATTTTAATTTGTTGTATATCTTGTATGTAAGAATCCAATCCTTAAACAGTAAGAAAGTTAGAAAAATACAATCTAACAACAGAATACTCACATTCAGGATATCCTGAATGCAAAATTACTTTCATAATCCAGTTTTATAGTTTAATGGACATTGTTTAATATGGCACCTCTCATATGTGACATCTTGTCAAGTTTAAAATTTACCTCACATTTCATTTTATCTAAAGCTACCCTGTTTCCCACTTACCACATGTATAAAATATTTTACTTTTCCTCTTACTATTTCACAAACAGATCATTTTTTCATCTGTAGTGGATCTTTTATTACTTCCTCATGCCCCCAAAAGTATACCAATATAATGATCAATTAGGAAATTTAGCATCTTTTTAAAAAATGTGCTTTCTTCTCCCTGTATAAGTCTCTGCTCTGCAATTTGTGAATGGCACCTCTGTTACATATCATAGCACCCATGTACCTGCTGCTGTGAGATTTCACCCTAGTCTTCTAAGACTATCTTGAACAGATAGAAAATTCAGTAACCAATATTCAAAGAAAAGCAGTTACCTTCAAAAGACCAAATTATTGGATAAACAGTCTTATCAATATGGCTTAGCATTAATATGGCTATAACATAGGGATTAGTCCCTGTTTTTCTTTATTAACAATGTGACCTGATCACAATTTTTTAAAGTCTAGACTAGTTTTCCATTATGTTTTACATACTTTATTCTGACATATCTTTTAAAAACAAAAGGACGCAAACATTTGCACTTATCAATGCCTTTTTCTTTAGATGTGGGTTTACTTCTTTTCTTCAGGCTTTTTGTTACCAAGAAGCAAGGTCTGACTTCAATAAGGCCCATTTGCTGTGAAAGTATCAGTCATCTTCAAAGCAATACTCCGGGTGGGCGTATTCACTGATTAGCTGCATAATTTCTTCTAGGACATTTGTAACAGACACAACATGTACAGGACTTCAGTTTGGGATTTTTTTTTCCTTTTTTCTCTCTTTAAAATAAGTGTTTGCTGCTTCTCATTCATACTTCTTTTTCTTTGAATATATTGCACAATATTTTATTATTAAAAAAGGTTTTATGTCTCAGGCAAAAAGTTCTTCTCCTTCACTCAGGAGGTGCTAATGTGTATTATTTTCTAAAAGAGGTAAGTGGTTGTCTGTGTGGCCATCCTCAAAGGGGACCTATGGGAGAAAAAGCAGGGAAAAAAAAAGCATGAATTCTATTCCTTATACTACCTCCCCTAAACACAAAGCTTTGTATTGGGCAATTCCTTCTAGGCACCAAAAGCTCTACTTAGACTTAACAGTGATACTGTGCCTCAGCGGTCAGCACCATTTACACTGTGCCACTTACAGAATTGACAGGCTTGTAGGATCCGAGTCTGAAACGGCAGCAAATTATTTCGACTATAAATTTTCCAATTCCATGTAACATGCCTGTAATACACAATAAGTTCATCCCTTTAATTAAATTATTTCCTAAATTGTTACAGAAGAATAAAAATCCAACTAACTATAATAGAATAGATTAAGGAAAGAAATATAGCAATTTGCATTATTCACATCCATGGTTAAAAATAAGATAATTAAAATTTGTAACAAGTTAATTTCTTTCCAAAATCACAAGGCCAATTGATGACTCAACACAATCTTCTTAATATTTTCTTTCTTTCTTTTTTCTTTTTGAGAGAGATTTTTGCTATAGGGTATGTACACTTGCCAGAGACACACAAAGCGAGAAATCATCTTCCAGAGGGGATGGCCACAGGAATCCCTCTCCCTCCATTCTTCTCTCAGGATTTTGGGCACAAGACACATGCCTTTTGTGAGTTTCAAGCCACCGGGTCTGGAACTCCAACTATGGTGGACCATCTGGGAGTTCAGCAACATAATCACCATGCCTTCTGCTGATCCCTCGAGATTTTCATACTCCATTTTGAAAATAAATGACACCCACAACAAAAATTTAAATGAATCTAAATGATTTTTTTAACATAAGAAACTATTCATTCAAGAACTAAGATTCTAAGTATATAAACTACTCAGCTACATATAATATAGAATAGTGGCTGAAGTTGAAGATGAAACCATTTCCTTTCTTTAATTTATTACACTTAACTCTCAAATTTTCATACCATTTTTAATCTTTGAGGGAATTTCAGAATCTCAGGTCAAAATCATAAAAACAATATTGAACAAAAAATTTCGTATATTCAAAGTACAACAGGATATGATTTTATATACTATACAATTAAAAATACTGTAAAAGGAAATCTGCATGCATTGTCTACTTCTAGGCAGTTTCTCGTTTACTACTATAGCACATAGGCCAGTTAGACATGATTATTCTCATTTTTACAGATGAGAAAACACTTCTAGAAAAGATAGGTGACTGGGGACCAGCAGACAGTGTAATGATTATGTTGCTGGACTCCCACACAGTTGATCACAGTTCAAGTCCCAGAACCAGTGGCTTAAAACTCACACTGGACATATGTGCCTGAGATCCTGAGGGGAAAATGGAGAAGGGATTGCAGATGGCCATCCCCCCTGGGGCAGTGATTTCTCACTTTGTATCTCTCTAGTGAATGCATGCGCCCCCTACAGCAAAACTCTCTTAAAAAAAAAAAAAAATGAAAACAAAAGAAAAGAAAAGATAGGTGACTTACCCAAGGCTATATATTGTAAGGGGCAAAACTTGGATTCAGTCTAGTTCTGTCTGCTGTTAACACCCACAATCTTTCTAGATCACCATATGACCTCATTACATTAATGAATGCAGTAAATTTAGTTATGTTTAATGGTTAGTATAATTTTGAAACTTTGGAATTAAATATTAAAGAAAAAGTCCTTTAATATCAAAACATAAGAATGTATATAATTCTTGCCATTTTAAGTAGAAGGATTTTATTTTAAGTATAAGCAACACTTAGAAATTAGAGAAGAGACCAGCAGTTGGCATAAGGGCTATGTCACTGGATTCCCATGTAGTTGATCGTGGTTTGAGTCCCAGACCCGGAGGCTTAAACTCATGCTGGGCGCACACACGTGTGTGCATGCCCAAGATCCCAAGAGGAGAATGGAGAATTAGGGATTGCAGCATGGCCATCCCCCTCCTGGGGGGTGATTTCTCGCTTTTCTGTCTCTGTCTTTCTGGCGAGTGCACATGCCCTGCAAGCAAAAACCTCTCAAAAAAAAAAAGAAAAAAAAGAAAAGAAAAGAAATTAGAGAAAAAGGAAAGGAATGTTAACCTGTTGTTGAAAAGATTCCTCCAACAATACCACAGAGTCTTACAAAAAACTGCCAGAATGGCATGTGCTCCTCAGTAACCGTCACCATAAGAGAACTGAGATCATACTTCATAAATATCCCAGAGACCCCATGGCTGCCTGCAGCATGGTTAATAATACGTTCCTAAAAGGAAAGAGAAACAAAGGGAGGAAGTCAGGAGGGAGAAACAGAATTCACGTCACTTGGTTACTTGCATACACTTACTATTCTGCTCTACGGCCCTAGAGAAGGGCACCCAAATTTCTGTATACATTTTCCTACTAGCCTAAGCTCTTCAGAGACAAACAAGATACTGTGCATTCTTTATGTGGTTAGTTTTTCTAACTACCAAAAGAACAGCATTGTTCTTTCTCATTTTCTCAAAAGGAACCCACACATGTAAGTTTTCTCCTGAGCTCTAGAGCTTACAACTGTATGCCATGGCCCTAATTGAACAAATCGATAAAACTAAGATGATATTTTGACATACTTTTTATAAAACTTCTTTGCTAAGAAGTCACAAAATAATTACATTTACTTCTTATCACCTAAATGATGAGATTTTAAAACAATTTCACTTTCTGTTGTTAATCAAACTCTATGAGATATAATATAGGAAGAAAAGATAATGCTTTTATCTTTAGGAATGCAAATAATGAGGTTAATTATTACCATGGGAAATTAAAACAATTTTATGTGGGGCATTACAAAACCCATTCCCCTATTATTAGCACAATAAAACATTATAAGCCACTGGGCAAATTTCCCATGAAGTGACTTCATTTTAAAGCTCTGAAATACTGAATATCACGTCCAAGTTATAAATATATTGTTACCATCTCTAAAGATAAAATTTGTTTTAGCAGGTATGTATGTAACAAAAAACAAATAATGATGCACTTTGGGTTCTAGGAGCAATGTAAGTCACTTCTCCCTCTCCTCCTCTCCTGCTCTCAATCCTGCATTTTACCAGCTGATTCCCCTATTTTTTTTTTAAGTGAAACACAACTATTTTAGCCACCCTATCAGCACAGACATCCTGAAGGCCAAATGTAGGCCACCTTTGCAGTCCAGGGGTTAAGGGAGCCAGATCCCACATGGCTGGCTGGTTTGAATCCTGGCCAGGGTGACTTGAAAAACACACCAGGCACTGTGCATGTGTTTGCAAAATGTCAATGGGATGGAAAGATGGAGGAGAAGGGACTGCAGCATGACCATACCCCACTGGGGTGCTTTCTCCCTCTCTATATATACCCCTGGTAAGGTATGTACCCTCTAGTAATATTTTTTGGAAGTCAAATGCTTTGAGATCCTATTGTATTTTTTTCTTTTTGATTTAATTTAGTCATTTAAAAATACACCCTAGAGATAACTCTTATCAGTAGATGGAGATCTTCCTCATTCCTCCATTTTCCTCCATTGTATAGATTTATTATTTGGGTTCTTTCTAGTCTTCTGTTATTAATATTACAAATAACACGATAAATAGCCCCATAACGTATTTTTCCCACTGTACCTTTAGAACTGATTTCTATAAGAACTGCTAGGTCAAAGAGTAAATGCCATTTGGCAGACACTGCCAAACTCCCTTCCACAGAGATGCCAGTTTGCATTCACAGGGCAATGCATGTGTGTCTGCCTGACCCAAAGCTTCCCAAGAGTCCCAGGGGGTTACACTACTTTTCAGGTATTTTCCATCCGACAGGTACGAAATGATATCCCCCTTACAGAAATGATGGAAGCACAATTGTATACATTTATCTAGCTTCTGTATATATATGTGTGGGTACACATTTATATACACCTGGTTATCTCCTAAACTGTCTGATGAGTTATGGACACATGATACTTCACCTCAAAAATCTTCAATACCTACTCTCCTAAGAACGCATAAAATTCTACAATTATTGGGGCCAGCATGCAGTGTGGTGATGGAGGCACTAGACTGCCACATGGTGAACCTTATCTACTAGCAGAGAGACTTTAAAATGCTTTTTAAAAAGAATCATTTTGTCAGAATTAACTTACCCGTTCTGTCACAGAAAACTGATGGGTATCAGCTGAAATTTTATATGTATGTAGTTTAGTTGGCACAACTGTAATAAAATATTGGAACATCTGGTTGTCTGAAATTTAAAAAAAGTGTTTTTTCATCAATCTAGTAACAACAAAACTAGTGCCAAATATATCCTTCCTCTACTAAATATGATTACCCTGAAATGGAATGTCGCACACGTAATGTTACGTATACAAAGTTCAACAAAAAGGCAATTTTAAAACAAAGAACTAATGAAAGTTAGTAAAATACATTTTGTAAAACACGATCTCAATAAGCGTGAAATAGGCACCCATATACATATTAGATTTTAAAAATGATTAACAACTGACTTGGTCTGCTATCCCTTATAACCACTATCATCCTTTTAAAAATTATTTTATCTATTAATGTATTTATCTATTAATGTATTTTTAATTTTCTAATTCTCTCAACCAGAGAGACAGAGAGTCAGGGAGAGAGAAATGGAGGGAGGGAGAGGGGGAAAGTGAGAAAGTAAGCTGCCGGGTCTGGGACTTGAATCATGGCTGGCCATGTGGGAGTCCAACACCTTTACCATCATGCCACCTGCTAGCCCTACTATCATCCTTTTAAGAAATGTGGAAAAAATAAAAATACCATTTCTCTACAGTACAGAAGCCATTAAGAATAAAATTAAATTAAAATGGAGTAGCCATTACAAAACACAGTCACAGCTTTTACTAAGTATAGCTTAAGATATACTAATAAATTATATTAGTCAGACTATGGATAAATACTGCTATCACAGCAGGAAGATAACTAAAATATCTACTTGATGATGGCTTGGGGTTACTGCACGATTATTGCCATTTACTAATCAATTTTAAATGGTTACATTTAAGATAAGTTACATTTTTTAAAAGACTTATTTATTTAATGTTATTTATTTATTTGTTTTATTTTAATTTGACCAGAGAGAAAGCAAGAGAGAAAGAGAAAGAAGGAAAGTGAGAAAGCAAGCCACCAGGTCCAGGACTTGAACTGTGGTTGGCCATATAGGAGTGTCCAGCGCCTTAACCACCACACCACCTGCTAGTCCCAATATAGGTTACATTCTAAAAAATTTAGAATTAGATACTTCTTTTTTTTCCCCCAGAGATGTTTTTGCCATAGGGCACATGTGCTCATCAGCAAGACAGAGAGACAGAAAGAGAGAAATCACCCCCCAGGGGGGATGGCCACGCCACAATCCCTTCTCCTCCATTCTCCTCTTGGGATCTTGGGCACAAACGCACACACACCCAGCCTGCGTTTAAGCCACCAGGTCCAGGACTCGAACTGCGGTAGACTACATGAGAGTCCAGCGACATAACCATTACGCTAATTGCTGGTCCCACAGATACCTCTATCTATAGATTCCACAAGAAAAGCAATGAGGTTCATAATATCTAACCAAAAAATAGATGTACTTCACACAACATGGTAATTGTCTTTGAAAACTGTGTGTGAATAAAATAATTTAAAATTACTTATTGGAATAGCTTTCAAATTTTTAAAGAACCACCTGGGGTCCTTCCATCAAATGAAAACCCTAGACAATTACTCCAGAAAATCTAATTCAAGAGGTCAGTTGCCCAGGAAGATGCACTTTTCACAGAGAACCAAGTGATTCTCATATAGATCAAATTAATTTAAGAAGAACTAGTTTAGGGAAATAGACTATTTAACAAGAGAAAATCTTTCTATAAAGCAACAGCAAGCTTAGTGGGAATCCAACTTTAGTTTTTAAGCATACATACTTACGTTCCCAGTAGCTTCTTCAAGCCACTAGGGCAGAGATTCAAATTGTGGTTGGCCTCCTGGGACCCACCTCCCTATCCCTAGACTTAACCACTGCAGTATGGAGCTGGTCCACAGCCTTCTGAAAATTAAACTCTTTATATACAGAAGAGTTTCTGTACAAAAATCTGTAGTTCATTTTAACATCTTGAAGTAAAAACTGATCAACATGTTTTCTTTTTTTTTTTTTAAAAGAATTATTTTTATTTAACTTTATTTATTATTATCATTATTCCTTTTCAGTTTGATCAGAGAGAGATAGAGAGAGAGAGAGGAAGTGAGAAAGCAAGTCACCAGGTCCGAGACTTGAACCGTGGTCCGCCACATGGGAGTCCAGCGCCCTTAACCACCATGCCACTTGCCGGCCCCACCAACATGTTTTCAAACGAGTATCTCTTAAATAGTAAGAGTGTACTAGATGAGATGAGATTATACTGAATAAAGTTTCTAATTCTCAGAATGTTTCTTTTATGTGTTTATTTATTTTCTTTTTAAGAAAGATTTTTGCTATCGGGTGTCTGCTACCACAGAGACCGAAACACAGAAAGTGAGACATCACCGCCCTGAGGATGGCCACTCTTCAATCCCTTCTTCGTTCTCTTCTTGGGATTTTGGGCATGGACGCATGGTCTGGGACTCAAACTGCGGTTGACTATGTGAGAGTCCAATGCCATTACCATTATACCATTTGCTGGTCCCTCTCAAAATGTTTCCAAACACAGAACATTCAAGTTTCCTTAAGTGAAACATAAAGTACTCACGAATCTAAGTCAACTTTTCTAACATAAAAACATTTTTAATGTATCTGATCATTATGTGGCTGGGTCTATAATGTACTACTCCTGACTATGTTAATAAACAAGCCATTCGGGAATAACTCTAGGTCTCTGATGTTTATAAAATTCTCCAGAGAGTTTTGTAAAATGATACATATGCATTTTAAAACATTAAGTCTATCCAAAGGAAAAAAATTTCCTATAATGTTAAAACTTTCTTTTGTTCTTTCTTTGGAACATATGGAAAAGTACATTTATGTCTTATTTGTTTATTTAGAGTGTTTTAAACTCTTTCTCCTGCATAACTTCAACTCTCATTTCTTTGCTCTGTTCCATGGCTCACTTTTTTTTTTTTTTTTTTTTAATGAGAAAGAGGGGAAGAGAGGGAGAAGAGAGGAGGGAGACAAGGAAAGACACAGAGTAGGTATTTTTATAGGGTCTCACTGTGTCATGCTCCTCCTGCTGGAGCCTCCCAATAAGTCAAGATTACAGGAACACACAACTGCACCCAGCATGTTCAGCTAGGAGCTGAGCCCTTGCCTCCTACACAGCCCCGGACCTTCCAAGTGCTGGTGCTACCTGTTGCTACTGCAACTGGGCCTCGATGGCTCACTGCTTAATATTCACATTTCATCCTAGGACAAATTCTCTCCACGCATTCATCGGCCACTTAAAGACTATCTTTACAAAGGAGTTAGTAAGTGGATTATTAAAAATTATTCATAACAACCAGCAGGTGGCATGGTAGTTAAGGATCTGTACACTCCCACATGGCTAACCAAGGTTCAATTCCTAGACCTGTTGGCTTGCTTTCTCACTTTCCCTCTCTTTCTCTCTCTCTCTCTCTCTCTCTCTGTGTCTCCTCTGGCCAAAATTAAAATAAGTGAATAAAATTAAATAAATAATTCTTTTTAAAAATTATTAATGTTAAGGTTATAAGAACAATTTCCTACACATATACTCCAAAAAGTAACTATTAAAGACTTACGATCTACAGCAATTTTTTCGGTTCCATCTAAAGGATTAATAATTCCTGGAACGAGCTCGCCAAAAGACAAATGATCTATTCTGTGAGAAAAGTTGTAAGCTAAGAGGAAAAAAATAAAAACAACTAAGTATTATTTAAAAGTACATGTTATAGACTGGTTTACATTCTTACCTATTCTCAAATGGAAATATCTAAAACTTGCAAGTATAATAATAGAGTATTTTAAACTACCTTTTTTTTTTTGAGGAAAAGGCACACAAATATATTGGAATTAAATATATCTGAATAAGTAAATTCTTATAAATGCCATATATCAGATGTCATAAATACATACAAATGAACTATAAAGAAATAATATCACATCTAATTCAGATAGCCAAAAAAATGTTGTTACTGGTTCAGATCATCATAGAATAACAGGACTGTGTTGTTAGAACCGAGATGATGTCCGTGTAGACAAATATTGAAACTAGTAAGATGTATTTTCAATAATCACTGCTGTCTGTGACCAAACTGATTTTTATAGAAGTTATTGCTTGTTCTGTCCACTAAAGTATACTTTAAAAAGCCTTAAAACAATCATTACACCATACCAACATATATTCATACTTCGAGAGCTATAAATTAAAATAAATTTCAAACACATTCTCTTCATTATCCAAAGATTAAGCAGAAATGTGTATAAAGTGATACAAAACACCTCTAAGGCTTTTTCCTCTCTAAGCTGAGCAATTCCTCTGTCATAACTGAGTAGAATCATAGGTAGCATAAAGGCAAGAGAAAATGGATTAATCAATAAGTATATTAATTTTCTCCTTTGGATGAATATCTGTTCTCAAAACTGCTCACTTTGAAAGCCCTACCTCACACCTACACTAAGAAAACAAGGGAAAACTTTTTATTTTAACGAACTTCTTCATTGAAAATAATACCCAAAAGTACTTACAGTCATGGTTGACGAGTGCTGCCAGGTGTGCGTGACCACGAGGATGTGGAATTGCCCTGAAAAGAGGAAAAAATACTAAAGTAGTAACATTTAGGTATCTAACTAATTAATATAAGAAAGTGGATTTTCACCAAGCTATCTAATTGTTCTTAGAACAAACGAACATATGAATATATTTGGCCCATGATTGGGCAGACAGGTCTGCTCATTTCAGCAGTGAGATAGGCGAGGTGGCAAAGAGCCAGATAGTAAATATTTCAGGTTTTATGGGCCAAGATGCAAAATCAAGGGTAATACATATTTAGTTGAATAATGAGAAAATTTTCTACAAATTTATTATTGATGAAATTCAACAGCCAACTAGTTTTTTGTTTTGTTTTGTTTGTTTGTTTGTTTTTGCAATCCTTTGTTAATACCTTTTTTAGTGAGGTATTTTGTAGGGTGATTAATTTTGCTCACTTGAGGTTTAGAGTTAGTTCACCTACTTTTAAAATTGGTCAAATCCCCAGCAGCTGGCGTAATGGCTATGATGCTGGACTCCCATCTAGTTGACCGTAGTTCAAGTCCAGGACTTGGTGGCTTAAACTCACACTGGGCACATGTGCGTGCATGCCCAAGATAAAATACTAAAATACTCAGTGTTTTGGGCCAGCAGGTGCATGGAGATAAAAAGGCAGCTGGATCCCACATGGTTGACTGTATGGTTTGAGTCCTGACTAGGCGGTCTAAAAATCATGCCGGGCACATGTACATGTGTACTCAAAATCCCGAGTGGAGAACAGAGAAGAGATTGCAGCATGGCCGTCTCCTCTAATGAGTGCTTTTTCACTTTCTCTTTTTCTTGCTCTGTCTTTTCTCTCTGGTGAGTGCATGAAAAAACTATGGTAAAAATGTTTTTAAAAATTCAGCTTTTATTTCTAACAAAAATTAATGAAAATGACAATATTTAAGTTCATGAGAGCAAATGAAGTTCACCATTGACACTACTAGCTCAAAATACCTGATAAATTGAACTGTTTTCTGCACAGTACTGCTGATACAGTGAAAAACAAAAGGCTTTAAAGAGCTTACATTTTCACAAGCACTGAAAAGTAGATCTTTTTCTACTATACACATTAGCACCATCAGTTATAACACAGTTGTAACATATCTTAACAGATTCTAGTTTAACTTGTACTATATTTGTGTTCCTTGGACTTCTCTAACCTCAGACACTGGAGCACTTTTCTCACTAGGTATCTAAGGTAAAATTATTTACTCTGAATACATTTCTGTAACTACGTTTAAATGCAATTTCATTAACTTACCAATGCCTAGCTTTCCTTACTTGGCTAACCAATGAAACATTTAGAAACTTTAATTGCAACCTCATTTCCATATTTTTATTTCTATAAAGAGATTCTATTATATCTAGATATTATATTTTAAATTTTCTAATTCGTTTGGTCATTTCCTTTTTATGAGTTGAGAATACTGTGATGAGTGTTTACCTTCTTAATATCAACATAATGTATCCTTTTAACACAGTTACAGTGTCAATACACAAGCACAATGTTCTACAGCCAAATTTGATCAAAAATGATCATACTGTGCTTGATAAGTACATTTGAAAGGCTAGCCCTTTGCCCTGGCGGTTAAGGGAGCTGAATCCCACCTGGTTAACTGTGTGTTTCAAATCCTGGACCCAGTGCAAGTATACACACATGCCCAGGATCCTGACATGAAGAAGGAATGGGGCTAAGAGGATTATGTGGGACCAAACCCCAATTGGGGGCAGGGGACAGCTCTCTCTCTCTCTCTCTCTCTCGCACATGCATGTGTCCTCTGGCATTAAAATAAAAAATCAATATTGAGCTTAACAAACCTAAAACCAAAAAATGAGGGGTGGGACATAAGATATCCTTGAGATAAGATACAAATAAAAAGCTTATCCAGTTAAACTCTTTTTTTTAAAGTGTTATTTTATTTAATATTTTATTTTTTTTATATTTTATTATTTTATTTTATTTTATTTTACTATTTTTGTAATTTGCCCAGAGACACAGAGAAAGATAGAGAGGGAAAGTGAGAAAGCAAGCCATGAGATACAGTGCCACCTGCTGGTCCCCCAATTAGACTCTTATTGATACTACAAATTATCACCTGGGACAGAGGTAAAATTAGGAGACAGGGAATGTGCTTTACATAAAAGGTTATACAAAATTGTCAAAATTTCTGAGTAAACTTTGGACTAGGATACTCTTTGTATGCAAAGGTACAACAACAATCTAAATTTTGAGTCAACTATCATTTGTTAATTCTACGACAGAGAACATCGAAGCTTTCAAAAACAGACTAGGGTGAATGGGCGGAATGTGTCCTGGCAATAACGACAAATCAATAAGGCCTTATCTTAAAAAGGGATGGCAAAAGAAAACATCGGTTTGGGGGTTGTACAGTGGCAAGTGGTAAAAACACAACACTGCAAGGCCGACCACATGGGAGATTCCGGGTTTGTTCCAGAGACCTCCCAGAGTACACCAGATATACACAGGCCTGTGATCCGGTCTGGCTTAGGTTCAATCATAGCATCAAGACCCTGTCAGGAGTGCTGTCTGCCTGCCTGCTTCTCTGGTCGCTCCCTCAAGAAGGATACAAATGAACAAAACATTAACAACAAAAGTTTGATATGATCATTTTGTGAAATAACTTTCATAAAAGTCTAGCTACAAGGGAACTTCAAGAAATTCATGAAAAATGGAATTAAACTGAGTTTATTTTGGTGCAAAACAATTTAAAATCCATGTCAAGTTTTTTTCAAAATATGCATCCATGAGTTTTCTTTTCGTTTCCTTTAATTGTCAGATGGCATGTGCACTGGCCAGAAAGAGAGAGAAATTACCTTCTAATGGAGAATGGTCATGCCGAAATCTTTTTTCTTTCATTTTTCATCCTGTCAGGATTTAGGGGCATGCACTCAAATGTGCCCAGCTTGTTTTTCAAGTCACAGACATTTGAACTGAGTCAGTCATGTAGAATACAGTTTCCGACGTTCTACCCTTAACCACTGTATTACAGACCCAGCCCATCCATGAGCTCACTTTTTGAACAACTATATTTAAAAAAATCTTCACATCCTCCCCTGCTATATGCCCATCCTCTCCTTTATATATTAATTTCTTAATCCTCCACAGACGTCCATAGGTTTCCCTCAGTGAAGCCTCTACTGATTTGCAGAGCTGGTCATACAGTCTCTTATCAGCCACACTTCTCCCTTACAGCCTCGATATTTCTACTCTCAGGTCAGTATTAACGTGTTGTTTAAAATTTGGTTCTCTTATACAATGTCAGCACCATAAGGGCAAAACCCCTTGCTGTTCTTCCCTATTTCATCCTTTTTTAGCATGGGAGTCTACACACATCAAGTACACAAAAAGGTCTTCCCATGAAGAATTGTTCAGCACAACAAATCTATATGGAAAAGAGGAGGAGGCAGGGATGGAAAGATCTATTTATTTACACAGAAATTCATCAAGTGTTTGTTACATGAGAATTTCTGTGCTGAATACTGCTCATGAAGGGAGGTGGTCTGATATTTTTCTTTAACGTCTATCTAATTAAAGTTCATTCCAGATAATACTTGTCTGGAATTTGGGATTACATTTTAATGAAAATCACCAAAAAGTGAAACAAAACAAAACAAAATGACTAGGGCAAGAGCTCTCTGGCTACTAAAACCTGGCAAGTAGGGACCAGCAGATGGTGTAATGGTTAGGTCGCTGGACTCCCACACAGTCCACCACTGACACAGCAGCTTAAAACTCATGCCGGTGCATGTACATGCATGCCCAAAATCCCAAGAGGAGAATAGAGAAGGGATTACAATGTGGACATCCCCCTGGGGGATCACTTCTTGCTTTCTGTCTGTCTCTGTCTCTCCAGCAAGTATACATGCCCTATAGCAAAAAAAAAAAAAAAAAAAATCCCTCTCTTTAAAAAGAAAAAAAAAACGTGAAAAGTAGAAGTTTTCACTTCCTAGTTACCTAATGGTTCACTCATTTTAATAAAAAATAATATTACACAACTGACTTACTTTTGTTTTAAAGTAGTTTTGTTTTTGTTTTTAATTTGCCAAAGTGTGTGTGCTTTCCAGAGAGACAGAGAGGGGAGATGTAGAAAGCACTTACCGACAGGGTGTGGTCATGCCACATCCCGTCTCCACTTCTCTCTCTCGGGATTTTGGGCCCACACTCGCACACGTGCCCAGTGTGTTTTTCAAGCTGCCATGCCCGTGATTCAACCACGCAGTTGGCCATGTGGAGGCCAGCTTCCTGGACCACTAGGCTTCATTGTCTGAAGTAGTTTTACAGTAAGTAGTCTTCTTTATGCTCAAACTGAAGTCCCAAACATCAACTGCAGGACTTTAAAAATACATGCACTTTCTTCTTCTTTTCTTTTGAAGAGATTCTTGCTATAGGGTACATGTGTTTGCCAGGGAGGCAGAAAGTGAGAAATCACCGCCCAAGGGTGATGGCCATCCCGCAATTCATTCTCCTCTCAGGATTTTTGAGGCATGAATGCACACGTGCCCAGCCTGAGTTTAAAGTAGCCAGGTCCAGGACTCGAGCTGCAGTCAATTATGTGGGAGTCCAGGATGTAACCATTATGTCACCTGCTGGTCCTATGCGTGCACATTTTAAGCACTGCTTTAATAGTTAGCTATGTATATTTGACTAACAAAGAATTTACTTTTAACCAAGCTCCAATCTTATCTAAAATATTTCAATAAGTGAAAAGAACATACTTGCCCACAGTTATGTGAAAATTCCCTGCTACTTTATTGACATACAGATGACCATGAATTCTGCATGCATCTGGAGGCTGTAATGAACCATCTTCTCTGTTAAAACAAGATACATTAAGATTATTAAAGCGCATTCAATAGAGTTAACATTTTGTCATGAGAAATTTATTAGCAGAGAAAAAAATTACTAAAGGTTGACTTTCAGTAATGTTCTAAATGTTAAAAATAGAACAGCAGTTCTCTGAAACCAATATCCTTCTAAAAATCATACACGTAGGGGCCAGCAGGTGGCGTAGTGATTAAGGCACTGGACACTCCCACTTGGCCAACCACAGGTCGAGTCCCAGACCTGGAGGCTTGCTTTCTCACTTTCCTTCTCTGTGTCTCTCTCTCTGGTCAAATTAAAATGAATGAATGAATGAATAAAATTCTAAAAAATAATAATTTTTAAAAATACATGGGCAAAATGGGGAAAAAATTAAATTATTTTTGCATGTCTGTTATATTTACATACATTTTAAACTCAGTGGTTCTTCATATCTAACAAGAAGAATAAGTCCAACAACCAAAATCATATAAAAAACAAAAGAATTAGTTGCATTTGCAACTAATAAGACATATTTTATCTATTTTTGCCACAATAGCAGGGAGGAAAGGGAAAGACATGCTATCTAAGCTCAAACAGATAATATCTTCTTCCTAAGTTAATGAAAAACCTCTGCATGTTTTTTAATTTTATCATTTTTATAATTAAATCACTTCCAAATACTGGCTATTCTAATCTATACAAGAAAAAGAGAGGGACCAGCAGTTAGCAAAATGGCTATGTTGCAGGACTCCCACGTAGTCGACCACAGAGTCCTGGAACCCGTGGCTTAAACTCATGTTGGGCGCATGTGCGTGCGTGCCCAAGATCCCGAGAGGAGAATAGGGGTGAAGGGATTGCGGTGAGGCCGTCCTCTCTGGGGGGGATGATTTCTCGCTTTCTATCTCTCTGTCTGTCTCTGTCTTTCTGGCGAGCGCAAGCGCCCAATAAGAAAAAAATCTCTCCAAAAAAAGGAAAAAGAAGAAAAAGAGAAAAAACAAAACTCCTGAACAACTTTTATATAGTCTCCTAATAGCAAATGCAACTAATTTGTTAAAACCTAGTATGATTTTATGACAGTATACCACACACAGAAAAGAGAAAATTAATTAAATGAACATGAAATAATACATCTAGTAAACCTGATCAAAATCATACAGTATAAATTTATGAGTAAAAACACTGTCGTCGTACAAAGTTCACTTTCTCTAAGAAATACAAGATTCAGAAAGGTAAACCGATACCGAGAGGATGTAAAAGTGAATTCATGATAAATAGGTGTACATTAAACACATGCATCTCACCTTGGGGGAAGTGCAGTTGTACCTTTAAAAGCACTTTTAAATATCACGTCTTGAAGTGAGTGCTCTTCTTGCAGCCTACTCTGAATCACCTGAAGCATCCTAAATATAACACAAACAACAGTTTAGAAAGACAGCAAGGCACAAACAGAGAGCCAATACTTAGCAAAAAGTAACAACGGTGAGCTGACTTAGCTAAGCAATATATTTATTATTACAAAATTTTATTCCAGGTCCAAAATTTTATTCATGGTGGTTCAGGTAGCTAGATCCCTCATGGCCAACTACACAGTTCATGTCCCAGACCTGGTAACTTGAAAAACACTGGCTGCATGCCCATCTAGAAAAAAATAATAATTCTAAAATAAAGTATAAAGTTTCCTTTGATTACTTCTTTTTTTTTCTTTTTTAGAGGCTTTTGCCTTAGGGCATGTGCACTCATGGTGGGGGATGGGAAGAAGAGGGAGAGACAGTGAAAGGGAAAGAAATCACCCCCAGAGGGGATGGCCATGTCACAATCCCTTCTCTTCCATTCTCCTCCCAGGATCTTGGACATGCACGCACATGTGCCTGGCATGCTTCAAGCCACCGGGTCCAGGATTCAAACAGCAGTTGGCCATATGGGAGTCCAGTGACTTAACAGCTACATCACCTGCTGGTCCCTAGATTTCTTTTTAAATACATCTATTATACAAAGAACAAATTAGACACTTGACAATTTTTATAAAATTCTATGTTCACAGTAACTAATAAAAGTATTTATTCCAAACAACAAAGAACAATAAAACCTTTCCTCTCTTCAACACTTAGTTGACGGGACCGTGTTATCTCTCAAACCTTTTAAAAATAACTTTGTATGATTAGATGTAGTCCTATTTCACCTTCCTCATTTCTGTATCTGTAACCAATATCCCAAATCATTCATGGTAAATTCAAACTCAGTGAACATAAAAATTACACACGGGGAAGGAGGAGTGAATTAGTGGAAAACAGAGGATGCTGAGAGCAGTGAATGGAGGATGTTTAAGGTAATTCCATACTTTCTGTTTGGTAGATACCATTCTGTATCTACAACGGATCATGTCATTATATATGTGTTAAAACTCACAGAATACACACCACCAAGATGGACTCACACAGTTCAGACTACGGACTTTAGATGATGCTGCTGATGGGTCAACGTAGGGCCACTGATTATAACGAAGGAACCACTCTGGTACGGGATGCAAATAATGGGGCATGTTGTCATGTGTCATATCACAAATATATTTTCTTTCCTTATCTATTTAGATTTTTGCCATAGGGCATGTGTGCTTGCTAGAGAAACAGAGACAGAAGAAAATGAGAAATCTCCCCACCAGGGGGATGGTCATGCTGCAACCCCTTCTCTCTCATTCTGTCTTAAGGACTTTAGGCACAAACACACACATGCATGGCATTATTTTCAAGCTGTCCTGTTTGGGACTGTAACCACAGAGTCAGCCATGTGGGATCCAGCGCTTTAACCACCACACCATCTGCTGGCTCCCCCCTTAGTTGTATTTTTTGTGAAACTGCTTTCTTGCTGTATACCTATTTTGCTGGGTTGGTTTTCCCCTTGACTTTTAAAAACCATTTGTACATTAAAAAAATTAGTCAGTCCTTTGTTATAAGAAAAAAAAAAACACCCAGCAAAATCGGCATATATATGTGTGCGTGTGTGTGTGTATATATATGTGTGTATATTTACATACGTGTGTGGAGAAAAAAAATATACACAAATGTAGGTACTTAACCACATGTAAATCTGATAATACTTCACCTCCCACCATAATGACAAAATAAATATTTTCAAGAAGTACAAGTGGGAAATAAGGCAGACACCACCCACCTAAAACACTGGTAAAACAGGCTTATGTAAAATTAGTCACAGCTATACCGTCAATGTAGTTTGGAATAAATCTTAAATCTAAACACACACACACACACACACACACACAAAGCAGCTAATGAGCTAGATTCAAGGTTTGAAATTTATTACTAAATAGAAATTAGTTGGTATTCTAAATATTTTAAGAAAGTAGAACAGCAATTTAAATTTAAATCTCTCACCAAATTCTAAAAGTAAAAAACATGTCTGTATGTATGTTACTCAGAAAGATGTAGCCATTCAAAAGCTATTCAAGAATATCTGCTAGGGACCAGCAGTTAGCGTAATGGCTATGTCGCTGGACTCCCACGTAGTCGACCGCGGTTCGAGTCCCGGACCCGGTGGCTTAAACTCACACTGGGCGCGGGCGCGTGTGTGCCCAAGATCCCGAGAGGAGAATGGAGGAGAAGGGATTGCGGCATGGCCATCCCTTCTGGGGGGTGATTTCCTGCTTTCTGTCTCTCTGTCTCTCTCTGTCTGGCGAGCGCACGCGCCCTATAGCAAAAACCTCTCCAAAAAAAAAAAAAAAATCTGTTTAGAAGTAGAATATGATGTGATCTATGGAACTTCAAAAAGTCAGATTTTATTTCTGATTTATACATTCAATGACTAAAAATAATTGGAGGCGATGTCAGCAGAAATTGGAAGCATCATATTTTTTTGTGTCTTGTATTTCAACTTTTGATGCTGGGCAGTAGTCAAAAATCTTGATGACACCAAACTGTGTGTATACGTATGTGCATGTGTGTGTGTATGTGTGTATGTACATGCACATGTGTGAGCGCTTACATGTGTATATACATAAAAGAAACTTCCATCTCAAAGACACCAATAAATACCCAAGGCTACATTCCATTCATGAAGGTATGTTGAAAACTCCAGTACCAAGAAAAATCTTTTATTTCCTCCATGAGAGACACAGACAGGTTACCCCCAAGAGTCCTGTCTCTCAACCACCCCAAGCTGTTCCAGAGCAGAGACAGCACAGGCCTGGCATACTCAAGGGAGAGAGGACCTCTCCACGTGGGTCCAGTTGCATTCCCACTATTCCACTGTTTGGCCCTGTAAATCTCTCTCATTTTAACAGTAAAAACATAATCTCCGTTCCCAGTCTTGAACACTGAAGAAAATCCCAGATGAAAGGAGACAGCCCATTTTAACACTTCCAGATTTAATTAAACTAATATTTAATCTCTGGACAGCCTTCTACTAAAAACACTACAAGCCCAAAGATATCTAACAGTCACTGTGTTGTTATACCACATTCGATTTCAACTTTCATACTAAAATTCAGCAAATGGTGAAACTGACACTTAAAAGAGGAATACTCTTGGGACCAGCAATTTGCGTAATGGCTATGTCACTGAACTCCCATGTAGTCGACTGCGGTTCGAGTCCTGGACCTGGGGCTTAAAGTCACGCCAGGCGTGTGTGCGTGCGTGCCCAAGATCCCGAGAGGAGAATGGAGGAGAAGGGATTGAGGCGTGGCCATACCCCCTAGGGGGTAATTTCTCACTTTCTCTCTCTCTGTCTCTCTGTGTCTTTCTGGGGAGCATACGTGCCCGATAGCAAAAACCTCTTTTTTTTTTTTTAAAAAAAAAAAAAAAAACTCTTTAAAAAAATACGAAAAGACTTAAAAAAAATTTATTTTGGAGGCAATGAGAGTCCTGGACCCAGCAGTTGGAAACTCATGCTGGATGTGTGTATAGGTGTCCAAATGTGGAGAGGACAATGGAGGAGAAGGGAATGCGGTATGGTCATACCACCTGGGGGATGATTTCTCACTTTCTGTCTCTCGGTCTCTATCTCTCTGGCAAGTGCACATGGTCTATAGCAAAAATTATCTCAAAAAAAATTTTTTTTTTAAATTTTGGTAGTAGTCTTAAATTAAGTAAAGCTTTGTTAGGTGCAAGACATAGTCTGAAAACCAGAAATAAAAATGTAGTAATACACAGAGGTGGGAGAAGAATTTATATCAAAGAACTAATTCTTTAATATACAGAGGGGTCTTAAGAAAAAGGGGCCAGCAGATAAATGGTGGCTGGGGCACTGGACTCCCACAAAGTGGACCACGGTTCCAATTCTGGACTCAGTGGCTTGAAAATCACATGGGGCACGTGTACATGTGTGCCCAAAATCCCAAGAGGAGAATGGGGTAGAAGAGACTGCAGCATGGCCATTCCCCCAGGAGAGATAGGCAATTTCTCACTTTCTCTCACTGTCTGTCTCTCTCCGGCAAGCACACACGCCGTATGGCAATAATAAGAGAGAAAAAAACTAACCCAGCAAAATGGGCATATAATAAGAAAGCAATTTCACAAAAAAATACAAATACAATTATTCAATTGATTCATAAAGAAATGCAAATTAAATAAGTGTGATACCAATTTCCACCCACCAAACTGACAAAATAAAAAATTTTAAAAAGGGTGGGGAGGGGCTGGCAGGTGGCACGGAAGTTAAGGCATTGTATCCCATGTGGTCGGCTCCATGATTCGAATCTTGACCCTGGTAGCTTAAAGATCATGTTGGCCACACACGTGCCTGAAACCCTGAGAGGAAACTAGAAGAGAAGGGATTTCAGCGTGGCCATTCCTCCTGGGGAGTGATTTCCCGCCTTCCCCCCTATTCGCTCTCTGTCTCTCTCTGGAGAGTGCACACGCCCTACAGTAAAAATTGAAAAAAAAAAAAAAAAAAAAAGTTGGGATATACCGGGTATTCTGAGTATACCTGCTATTGGTGATGGGAGTGTAGAGCGATAAACACTCTCATACAGTGAAACAATATTTTGAAAGACTATATAGCATGACAAAAATGTTAAAGCTCCCTAAAAGAAAAATTCTATTTCTAAAAACTTTTATTTCTATAAACTTTTTGGACACTTAATATACATGTGTACACACACACATGTTCATAAAGAATTAGGTTCCAGGTTGTTTACTGAGTATCAGAAACAATGATCATGTATTACTACTTCTGTAATTAAATATTCTCAAAGTTAAGAAAATTTTAAATATAAACTAAAATGTACTTGTGATTTGAAGTTTACTAGAGAAAACATTACATGAGATTTTTTTAAAGAATTATTTAATTTTATTATCATCATTCTTCAGTTTGACCAGAGAGAGACAGAGACAGAGAGAGAAAGAAAGAAAGAAAGCCACCAGGTCCAGGACTTGAACCATGGTGGCTATATGGGAGTCCAGTGCCTTAACCACCATGCCATCTGCTAGCACCACACAATTTTAAAATCTCATAGTTTAAATTGTAAAGATTATATATTAAGTTCTTTTAATAATTCATCCAAGGAAATTCTTAGAGAAATGTGTTACCCCATTTCTGTCTGTTTACAACAGACAGAACATGATCTATGGACCACAATACTTTGTTAGCTTATTACCTCTGCCACTCTTTTTGCTGTGGTGAAAGATCAAATATTGCCTGAAATAAAAAATAAAAAAATAAAAAATTCTCTTAGTTTTCACATCACAACCTTTTTTTTTTGAGAAGAAATATGTTTTTTTATTTATTATTAACAAACATTCATGATTTACATTTAGTCTAAGTCAAACTATCAAATTTTCATATGTGGTATTTTTACTCAAAAATAAAAAAGAAATTTTTACTAATTACAAATATTCTTCTGTTCAGCTACCCACATTTATAGGAATGGATGCAAACCAGCAATCTATCATTCATGTAAGATGGCCATCCTCCTGGGGGGTGATTTCTCGCTTTCTCTCTCTCTGTCTTTCTGGCAAGCACACACGCCCTATAGCAAAAACCTCTCCAAAAAAAAAAAGTAATTTTTAAGGATTAAAAAAGTAATTATTTTAAATTTGTAAAAGGATATACATAAGAGTTTCCAAATTATTTGAGGAAAAGAAGAAAAATTCATCACTATAGCAACTGTAAGAAAAAAACTATTAGGACGCATTAACAAAACACATAAAATAAAACCAAGGTTATAAAACAGACTTAAGATACTTGTCCAAAATATTAACAACAGTTATCCCAAGGCTTTGGTACTAGACATAACTGCCCCCTCCCACCCAAACACTAAATGCTTTAACAAAGAATATGGAGTATTTTTGAAATAATGAAAAAATTACATGAAAACTCAGACAAAGCTAAAAGCAAATATCAAAACTGTCTTCAAGGGTACAATTCCTCAAAGCCTCTATTTCAAAAACCATGTGAATCAAACTTACTGGTTCATAAACTAGACCATCTGCAGATGCAACCATTGTTTCTGCTAAATCCAATACATCTGCTCCAACATCTGCATTTAAAAAAAAAAGAAGTTTTACATTCTATGCTCAGAACTAAACCATATTTGACATAAACACATGATGTCTAACAGAAAACTTAAGTACATAGACTCACTTTTCTATACTGCTTATTTGTTCTAAGTTAAAACAGTAAGTAGCATTATATAGCTTTGGTGGAGATTATGGCAATTTAGTAATGCTTTTTCTAATTCTTGTTCAGTAAAAAAGAGAACTCAGACTCCCATGGTAAATAACATATATAATATTTTACTGAATTGAAGAACTTTGCACAATTTCTTAAGAAACCAGTTCTAAATAGCTGAACAAAATATTAATGACAAGAATTATTTTTAGAGATTAAAAAGAGATCATAAGGCAGGGACCAGCAGTTGGCATAATGGCTATGTTGCTGGACTCCCATGTAGCTGACTGCAGTTCAACTCCTGGACCTGGTGACTTAAACTCATGCTGGGCACATGTGTGTATGTGCCCAAGATTCTGAGAGGAGAATGGAGAAGGGGTTGCGGCAATATATAGAAATTTTAATTCAAAAAGACTAAAATGTTAATGCAATTCAAACATCCCAAATAAGGCAAATAGGATGTATTTAGTATTAAATTAATTCTTAAAAATTTAGATATAACAAACTTTTTTTTGGGGGGGGGGGCATTTAGGGCAGGTTTTTGCTATAGGGCGCATGTGCTTATCCGAAAGACGGAGACAGACCGGGACCAGCAGTTAGTGTAATGGCTATGTCACTGGCCTCCCACGTAGTTGACTGTGGTTCGAGTCCTGGACTCAGTGGCTTAAACTCAGGCCGGGCACGTGTGCGTGCATGCCCAAGATCCCGAGAGGAGAATGGATGAGAAGGGATTGTGGCATGGTCATACCCCCGGGGGGTGATTTCTCGCTTTCTATCTCTCTCTGTCTGGAGAGAGCACAAGCCCTATAGCAAAAACCTCTCCAAAAAAAGAAAGAAAGACAGAGACAGACAGACAAAAAGCGAGAAATCACCCCCCCCCCAAAGGCAATGGCCATACCGCAATCCTTTCTCCTCAATTCTCCTCTCGGGATCTGGGCATGCACGCACACGTGCGCCCATAGTGAGTTTAAGCCACTGGGTCCAGGACTCAAACCGTGGTCAACTACATGGACGTCCAATGACATAGCCATTATACTAACTGCTGGTTCCTAAAATACTTCTTTCTTTCTTTAAACCACTAACATTAAAATACAAAAGAAAAAATGATTGGGCCTGCCCTGTAGCCTAGTGATTAAAAGAGCTAGATTCCCCCATGGTCAACCACTGTTCAAATCCCAGTCCTGGCACATGCCAGGCATGTGCCCAAAATCTTTTTTCTTTTTTTAAGAGAAATTTTTTGCTATAGGGTGCACGCGCTTGCCAGAGAGACATAGAGAAACACACAGGAAGTGAAAAATCACTTCCCAGGGGGTGATGGCCACGCCACAATCCCTTCTCCTCCATTCTCCTCTTAAGATTCTGGGCACACACGTGAGCGCACGCATGCGTGCCCAGCGTGAGTTTCAAGCAGCCAGGTCTGAGAATTGAATAACAGCCGACTACGTGGGAGTCCAGTGACATAACCATTATGCCATCTGCCAGTCTCAGTACGTGCCCAAATTTTGACAGGATGCGTAATGAAGAAGAAAGGATTGTGGTGTGACCATGCCCCATTGGGAAGTGATTTCTTTTCTGCTATTCCCCAACAATAGAGAAGAAAAGAAAAAATAATTTCAAATTGTTTTGAAGAAAAACTTCCCAGAAACTAATATCCTTAATTGGGTAAAATTATCAATCCTAAAATACTTTTTAAGCAGTTAACTATAAAAATATTTTTCACATAAAAGCATTCTATTTTTTAATTGCCAGAGGGCATATATTCTTGCCAGAGAAAGAGAGGAGAAAGTACATTCCAGTGGGACATGGTTCTGCCTCAATCCCCTCTCCATTTCTCCATCCTGTTGGGGTTTGGGGAACAAACATATGCACACATGCCTGGCATAGTTTTTCAAGCCACTGGGGCAAGTCAGCCATGTGAGATCTGGTTACCTGTCTATGGGGCTGGCCCAGCATCTTATTTTTAAAAGCAATACTGATTTAGGCATTATCTATCTGGTGTAGTATTATTTTTTAACTTCCACCAGTATAATGAAGTGAAGCCAGTCAAGAAAACAGAAAAAGGCTCCTTATTACTATTAACTTAAAACAATTTGATCTCAGAGCCAGCAGGTGGCGTAGTGGCTAAGGTACTGGGTTCCCACATGGCCAAGTGTAGTTTGAATCCCAGACTTGGTTTCTTGAAACTCATATCAGGTACGTGTGCATTTGTGTCCAGGATCCTGAGAGGAGAGTGAGGGAAAAGGGGTTGTGGTGTGATCACCCCCCAAGAAGGTGATTTCTCATTTTCCCTCTCTGTCTCTCTTCAGTGAGCACATGCACCCTATGGCAAAAACCTCAAAAAAAATTTTTTTGATCTTAATTTTAAAATGCAAGAGTAAAGGATAGTCAGTAAAATAGGATATGCTTGTGGAATTCTAAACAAGAAAGAAAATATATGCCTAAACTAGAACTCTCACAAAAATTTCCTCATTTTTAAAATTGAATATGAAAGTTAACTCTCTTCTCTTTATGGAGAAGACACTAAAAGATATAAACTGAAGTAAACCAATCTGCGTCATTAAATACCACCACAGTAAAAACTGTAAATATTGCAAAGAAAAAAATGGTAAAATCTAGTAAGTGGTTTTACTTTTTATTGGCAATTATTTGAATCATGAATTACATATAGGTTCATCAACTTGAGGGTGTACTTACATTGACACTTCATGGCAACAGTAATATCTATATTGATTCTCAATTTGCTAGAAGTCAAAAAAAGGTAAAAGTTAGTAACTACAAATTCATGAGAAATATAAATCAATTACCTATTTAAAAAACCAGGGTTTCAAACAGGAGAAACTATGCCAATTAGAATTTAATTACATTTGTTACAGCCAAATCAAAGACACTTGAAAAGTAAAGATTTTATTGTGTGATTATTCTAATAGGCCATCAGATTTCACAGGATTTCTTTTTTCTTTTTTCTTGAGAGGTTTTTGCTATAGGGCATGTGCGCTTGCCAGAAATACAGAGAGAGACACAGAGAGACAGAAAGCGAGAAATCACACCACAGGGGGGATGGCCACACTGCAATCCCTTCTCCTCCATTCTCCTCTCAGGATCTTGAGCACGCACGCACATGTGTCTGGAGTGAGTTTAAGCCACCAGGTCCGGGACTCAAACCGCAGTCGACAACATGGGAGTCCAGCGACATAGCCATTACACTAACTGCTGGTCCCATGATTTCACAGGATTTTAACACAGTGTCTTTTAACTTACTGGTAAATTTACGATCAATAACACCAAACAATTCAGAAAAAACTTAACATCTATTTACATAACCTTTACACAGAATATTCCATTAAGAAAGTGAAACTTTCAAATCAAATATTAAGAATTGCAAGTCTTTTTCCTCTATCAAATAAATACCATACATCAGACATGCTAGACACCTTACACTATTATCTTCTCTGTTCTATATCATAGCAATACAGCAGATGCTTCAGTTTTCTCAAATAAACCACTCGTGTTCAGGGCAGTGTGAATTCCTAGCTTAAGATCACACAACCAGTGAACTGGAAACTACGTCCATGTAACTCAGAATACACGCAATCAAATACCAGGAAAAAATAATCTGACGTTTAAAGGTTTTGCACAGACTGTTTAAAAAGCCCAACTAATGCCTTATTTTCAAATTACCAGTTCAAATCAAGCTAATTTTTAAATACCAGAATTAAGCACTGTGAATAACAGAACGGGCACAATCAAATTCAGACCTGCATCTTCAATCAAAACTTTCATTCTAATAATTTTCATCTGATTTGGGGGCTAGCAGGTGGCATGGTGGTTAAGGGAACTGGACTCCCACATGACTGACAGCAGTTTGAGCCCAGACCTGGCGGCTTCCTTTCTCAATTTCTCTCTCTCTCTCTCATTCTGGTCAAATTAAAATAAATAAAGTTACATAAAATAAAATGATTCTTTAAAAAAATAAAATAATCATTTTCATCTGATTTCAACAGAAATTACAGATGGTCAGCCAGCAATATGGTGGTTAGGGTGGCTGGATCCCACAAAACCAATGGCATGGTTTGCTATTAGATCAGTGGCTTGAAAAACATACTAGGCATGTGTATGCCCAAAATCCCAAGAAGAGAAATGGAGAAGAAATGGATTAGAGCATGGCCATCCCCCCAGAGAAATGCTGTCTCACATTTCTCTCTCTCCCTCTTCCTACCTCTCTAGCAAACACAAATACCCTCTTGTAAAAATTTTTTTAAAAAAAGGAATTCCAGATTTTTAGAGCTTCATAACTTTAAAGTTGTCTAGAATTTTAACTGTGCTCCAGACAACGCTGGACTTTAGGCTCAGAGAGGCTGTAGGAAGCGGAGGAGGATGCCAAGTAGACAGGCTTCTGGCTTTCCCACATGCTTAAGTGGTGAATACAAGACTTTGTTTAGAAAAAACAAATGTTTTATTGGTGATAAAAACAAAAGAAATATAACAACAAATTCCTTAAAAACTAATGATCTCTTTAATAGTCACATTATGGATGAAGAAAGTGAGACCAAAAGAAGTCATTTGTGTGACTTGTCCAATGTTACTCAGCAATTTACAAATGTTGACTTTAATTCTCATAAACACCAGTAAGAAGACACTATAATTATTACCTCTATCTTATAAAAAGGAAAACAAAAGTACACAACAGACAACAGTTTTAGTAACTTCACCAAAATCAAGAAGCTAGTGAATGGCAAAGCTAGAATTGAAATCGAGGACTAAATCTCTCCTTATCTAATACAATCTTAATATTATAAACCTGTTACTGTCCGTGCAATAAAAAGAATCCAAATAATACAAATGAATAAATGTGAAGGCACTACATTTTCAGAGGTTTAAAACAAAAATTATCTTCAATAGAGTTTGTAGGAATGAAGTTCTGAGTATACACAATGTATCTTTAAATAATCTATTTTTGAACTTGCACAGATCACAGTCTAAAAAGTAAACAGTTTCTTTTTTTTTGGAGAGGTTTTTGCTATAGGGCAGGTTTTTGCTATAGGGCTCGCAAGACAGACAGAGACAGACAGAAAAGGAGAAATCATCCCCCAGGGAGGATGGCCACACTGCAATCCCTTCTCCTCCATTCTCCTCTCGGGATCTTGGACACGCACGCTCATGCGCCCAGCGTGAGTTTAAGCCACCAGATCCAGGACTCGAACCGTGGTAGAATATACATGGGAGTCCAGCGACATAGCCATTACTCTAACTGCTGGTCCCCTCATAACCTTTTTAAACAAGTACATATTCAAGATCCGCAGATGGCGTCAGTGGACTCACACATGGTTGCTCACGTTCAAATCCTGGAACCAGTGGCTTCAAACACATTGAGTGTGAGCGCATGTGTGCCCAAAATCCCAAGAGGAGACTAGAGGAGAGAGTATAGTGGCATGGCCATCCCCCGTGGGGAATGATTTCTTTCTTTCTTTCTGTCTCTCTTTCTGTGTCTCTCCAGCAAGTGCCTGCACCCTATAGCAAAAAATGTCTCTTAAAAAAAGAAAAAAGTGTATATGGAATCAGAGAACCTATTTTAAAATGTTTCACCTAATGTATGCAATTAATAAGAATTTTTCAGAACTATTTTATCAGAACTAAAACAAACCAAATATAAAAGGTAAGACTTTTCTTAAACATATGCTCTTTCTAAAATAATTTGAATCTAAATGTTTTTTATAAAGAAAAAAGTTACCTAGAAAAATCCTTGTCTACTTCATATTCATATTTCATCCATGTATCTTGATATACTGAGAATTCCATTATGGTTAATAAAGCCATAGTAGTAAATGCTATTAAAGAAACTGAGAAATCCAACACAAAAGAAAAAGTTAAAAGAACCAGAAAAAAGTAAATAACAGAACACATTAAAATTATTAAAATTAGCAAAAAAGTCTAATACGATTACCATTTAAATGAATACTATAGAAGATTTTTCTTCAAGATGTTTATTATAGATTTTTTTCTAAAACAGCTGATAAACAAACTTGTAATAGGCACAAATATGAACACAAATATTTGTACTTTAAGAAAGCATTTTTTTCTTCAATTTTAAAAATTCTTCAAGGTGTAAAATTTTTTTATATATAGCAGTGTGACAGACATAATAAATGATGAAAGCATGTTTATAGTACAAATTACAAAATATTATCCTCATTTTTAAGAATGCATCCATCCCTATTGCCCAATTTAAAACAAACAAAATACTAGCCTAATTTCTTAGATCTTGAGAAGTTTCTGTGCGTCAGAAACTCAATAACATTCTCAAGTATCTAATAAAATTCTCTTTGACTCTGCAGTCTCCTAAGCAACCACCTCATTTATCTTATACTCTGGAATAGAAGATCTGACAAAAAATTAAAAAATTTAAAAAAACTAGCATATGCTACTCAAAACACATTTAAAATTGGTTGTGCAACAAGAACTTGAGCTATTTTCATTAACAAAGCAATCACAATTAAAAATAGAAAGCAACTTATTACACATTTTACCAAATAAAATGTCTTACAGGAAATATTACATTAGCTCTTCATGGGCAAAGAAATAATAGTAAAAATACTGTTATGGTCACATATTTTTCTTACGTATTTCATTATTAATATATATTTAACAAATACTTCTATCTGTACTACCAGGTATTGCTCTTAAACATTTTATAAATATTAGCTAACTTAACTGATACAGAACCCTGAAAGGTAAATGCTAATATTACTCCTATACCGTGGAGGAAGAATCTAAGGCACACACAGATCTGAGTAACTTCCTTGAGGTCACATAGGAGAGGCAGAGGTGGGTTTCAATCCAGATAGTTTAGTTCCAAAGTCTAAGCTCTTAACCTACCCCTCCTCATGGTGCTCTTAATAGTAATGTGAAGTTGAAGACTTTTTTTAATAATGTAAATACAGATTTACTCTTAACCAAAATAGCTTCAATGTATTCATATATAACTAAAAGGCACCAAAGCAAGAAAATTGACTCAATTTGTTCACTGGTGTTTTAATAATAAACACTTCCAAGTACACTGGAGGTACCAGGTTGGATGTTGAAGAGAATATAAATAAAAATAAAACCAGGGCAAAATGTATAACTTGAGGACAGACAGATTAGATAAAAAGGTACCGCACAATTCACTGGTAAGTTCTTCATGGCTACATTTCTATATGTTGTTGACTGGATCACTCAGAAATTGCACTTGCTGACAGAGTTTTAATTTGAATTGGCACTCACCTGTACCCCCACTGGCTGAAGTCTCTACATAGCTTTTAGGAACCTTTGGAAAAGCATCCAATTCTTTCACCAGACTTAAAGTTTTTTTCCGATTCAGTCGCCTCATCTTCAGGAAAACCTTCCTTTTCCTTCATATGGTCATGCTAAAGAATAAATAAATGAATATGTAAATCCTCTGAAGAGATTTTATTCTAGGAAAGGTGACAAATGTCCTTAGGATGACTTAGCATTCTCATTCCTCGAGAGAGAGAGAGAGAGAGAGAAAAAACAAAAACAAAACAAAATATAATACACGCTACTCCTTTCTCCACTGGCACCTTGACAAAAACTACTAATAAATGGTAACTTGCACATGCACTTTAAATAGTGACAACAACAAAAGAGTAAGAAATTCATCATAGCTATATTTAAATAAGTAAATTTAAAGTTTTTCTCGTTATATTGACAAATACATAAAAATAATGGATGATGGGGCCAGCAGGTGCCATGGTGGTTAAAGGTGCTGGATTCCCACATAGCTGACTGTGGTTTGAGTCCTGGATCTGGCAGCATGATTTCTCGCTTTCCCTTTCCCTCTCTCTCTGTTCAAATTAACAAAGAATAATAACAACTGGAATTAAATAAATAAATAAATAATTTTTTAAAAAAATAAATAATGGATGACAGTGAAGTAAAATAGCATGTCTATACATTAATAACAAGAATATTAATATTTATCACTCCTCTTCTAAGTAAGTAAATTCCTTTTTAGGAATGTATTCCAAAGCATTAACATGGGCAGTGAACAAGTTTGATTACGAAGATATTTCTCACAGTATTATTTTAAGTATTGAAGACAAAAACAATCTCATGTTATCCAATATACAAATTATGGCAAATGAAGAGGTCTTAAGCTATGTAATCACTGAAAATCATATGAAAATATCTAATGACATGAAAAATATTTATAACACATTAAGAAGAAGAAACTAGAAAGCCAGATGGGTCCGAGTATTTTTTTTTATCTTAAGTTTATTTATTTATTTTTAAATTTGACCAGAGAGAGACAGAGCGAGAGAGAGAGGGAAAGTAAGAAAGCAAGCCACGAGGTCCAGGACTTGAACCGTAGTCATCCATGTGGAAGTTCAGCACCCTTAACCACCACGCCACCTGCTGGCCCCAGGTCCTAGTTTTATAAAAAAAAAAAAAAAAAAAAAAATGGGAATCAAGAACTTTGCAAAGCCTATAAATCACAGACATAGGAAACAAACTCAAAGTATATACACAAAAACGGTAAAAGTACACTATAGAATTTTCATTGTCTACATAATTTCAGACTTTCCAAATTATCTATTTCATAAAGGTATTTCAATATGTGTATTAAAACCTGGCTGCTTGCTGTTCCTTTTTAACACTATTTCCATTTAAAATGCTACAAAGACAATAAATGATAACTGAACTCTCAAGTAATTTGTTTAAGTTTTTTTAATACTAAGTGATACTCAAAGATTTCTAGGAATCAGAGTTGCATTAATATTAATATAATCAACACAGAAGTAGATTAAACACAGCAGAATAAATCAGACGGTTGCAGAAGTCACTGTAAGAAAAGGAATGTTTCTGGAAGAAATTAGACTTTAGGGCTGAAAACAAATGGGCAGGATAAATATAGGAAGAACTAGCTATAGAAAGGGCATTCATGGAGGAAGAGGGTCAGAAAAGCAAAAACAAGCAGTAATCATGTCCAAACAAGAGAAGCTCTAACTAGGGACACTACTAATCAGTCCACAGGGAGCTACGGCCCTGAAGTGAAGTTGAAAGCATTTGTAAGTTGATTCATTTGCTCACAAAGTAGCCTTTGGATTATGATTTTGCTTCTCATGTACACACATGTCCTAAAAAAAAAGATCATGTAGAAAAAGTAAAAGATGACAGCTTCTGATTTCCATGTCACTTACAAAACTAGTTATTTGTGAATTAAGCTTCTGAATATTAGCATAAAGCCATTCTCCTTAAGTTTGTTCAGCTCTGAGAAAGTAATCAAATGTATTTTCTCTAACTGCTTAGTGGTAACTGCACCAAGACTGGCCCTTCATTCTCTGAATTTCTACTCATTCCTTCTGATCGAACTTAAATATGTTCATGTCTCTAAGGTTTAAAGTAACACAAAGCTCTCCCCTAAACTCAGGTCCAACTCCAATTACGTATCTCCGGTAGCATGCCTATACTAAAAGTGGGAAGAAAAAATTTAAAAAGAGCCATCCCCACTCACCTGCTGTGACTACTGCCTGACCCCACTCTCACCCCTTAATTAAAATTGCTCGCAGGAAGGCCATTAACAACTTTTTTAAAAAAAATATACAGATAGATAGATAGATATAGATATATTTCAGAGGTTTATGCTACAGGGTGCATACGCTCTCCAGAAAGACAGAGACAGACAGAAAGTGAGTGATCCCCCGCCTCCGGGGGGATGGCCACGTCGCAATCCCTTCTCCTGCATTTTCCTCTTGGGATCTTGGGCACACACGCACACGCGCCCGGCGTGAGTTTAAGTCACCAGGTCCAGGACTCGAACCGCGGTCGGCTACATGGGAGTCCAGCGACATAGCCATTACGCTAACTGCTGGTCACACAACTTCACTATTAAATGCAATGGATGTCCTGACCCAGGGGGGACAGTCAAACAGGTTTCCTGAGGGAAGGAGTGAGAGCCAGGACGAGTGGCACAGTGTTACAACACGGAGACGACGCACTGTTACAACTCTTCAGGGTCGTCCGTTTATTGTGGGCAGCACGGAGACGATCCAGTGTTACAACTCTTCAGGGTCTTCAGGGTGGTCTGGAGACGATGCGGTGTTACAACTCTTCAGGCTCTTCAGGGTCGTCTGGCGATTGTGGGCCAGGGATCGTGGTTATACATATGTTAGTGGGCCGTGATTGGTTGTAAAAGGTGGGTTATGATTGGTTGTAAAAGGTGGGTTATGATTGGTTGCTTTGTGGACCAATCATGAGGTGCCGGATATGCAAATCTGAGGGATTCTACTGGCCAATCAGAGTATGGTTTTGAAGGTGAGGTTTTGAAGGGAAGCCAATCATGGCTTTTGGCATTGTGTAATTGTTTGCTCTTTGAGAAACCAGTGATATTCGCTGGTGCGCAGCCTCCCACAAATGGACACTTATTAGGCCTTATCTAATTTCACCTTTGAGAAAAACATACTGTTCATCACTTCCTCTTCTTCTTGAAACAGTCTCTTACCTTGACTTACACGCTATTACATTCCTAATTTTCAAGCTACCTCTAAGACTCTCTTTGGCTCACTTCCTCAGTACTGCACTAGACCCGCCTTCCCACCTCCAACTTTCCCCGAAATCATTTCCCATTCCTTCCATTTCCATCTACAGGTTGATTCCTCCCAAATCTTTACTCCCATCCCAAAGCCCTCTGTTAACAAGTATATCTCCTCGGTTTCTATTACATTTTAATTTGAACATTCCAAAGACAATTCAGAATCAAGAAGTCCAAAAATGAATGTTATCCCCCCCAAAACTACCCCTCCTTCTGTACCCCCTCAGTTAACAGAATCATGCACTCCACTGCACTAGCAGAAACATGGGCCACATACTCAGACTTAATGCGCTTCCTGAATTTCTAAAATCTGTCCTCTCTTCAGGCCATTGAGAACATCCTTAGCAGAATCCCAGTCCCAGCTGCCACAGTCTATCACTGAATTGCTTTAACTTCTAATCTTCAACTCTTTAATTCTTTCTTTGTACTACAATGAAATTTTTAAAAAACATAATTCTGATCATATAATAGTTCTCTTAAAATCTTTGAATAACTTCCCATTACTCAAAGTGTAGTCTGTCCTAACAGGATTTACAAAGTCCTTTAAAAGCTAGGTCTTGCTTACCTCTCCTCAAACTCAATTCTTCATACTAGTTCAGCCACACTGAATCACTTTCAGTTCCTTAAATACACTGTTCTCTCTGCCAGAAATAGTCTTTCTCCCCCTACCCACCCTTTCACCTCTATATCTGATGAACTCCATTCATTCTTCACGTCCCAGCCTGCTCCATCTGACTAACTCCTACTTACAGTTCAGGTCCTGGTCTACTATCTATCCCTTGGGGGCATGGGGGTAACCTTTCATAGCTCTGAAAAAAATCTATGCTCCTAGAACACTGTACCTTTACCACAATATTTCTAACTGCTCGTCTCGTTTTCTGTTTTCTCTACTGGATTGTTAGGGTACAAATCAAGTCTAACTTGATCTTTGTCTCTCCAATGCTTGGCACGGCAGATATTCAATATTTATTTATTGAGGGAGGGAAGGATAGACATTTCCCCAGAAACACTCATAGAGGCACATCCTTCAAATACCAACAAAGTGTAATACTTGGGTAAGTGAATACATAAAAATACATCCACAAAGATTTTTGTATTTCCCAAACTGTCTATAATGTCGCATTTTTGTATTAACTTTATAGATGTTCTATTTTAAATTATATACAAGTATACAGTTATGGCAGCCAGCTAGTTTTAAAAGTCTTCTAACAAGAGACCAACAGTTGGCATAATGGCTATGTCACTGGACTCCTATGTAATCGACCACAGTTGGAGGCCCGGACCTGGTGGCTTAAACACACTGGGCGCATGTGCATGCATGCTCAAGATCCCAAAAGGAAAATGGAGAAGGGATTGTGGTGTGGCCATCCCCCCGGGGGGTGATTTATCACTTTCTGTCTCTGACTTTCTGGCGAGCGCACACACCTTATAGCAAAAACCTCTCCAGAAAAGCCCTCCTAACAATACATATAATTTGGCACTTCTTCCTTAAAAGTCTACCTAGCAGATCTCACTTGGTTACCCTTCAGTCTCTGGCTTTCTCAACCTTATTCTCCAAGATTATCATCCTATTCTAGAATGGAGAACCTAACCACTCTGCTCCTCCCTGCCTCAGCCCTGTATGCTCAGCATGAATCTACCTCCAAGAAATTAATTCTACTACTTGCCACTCTGTAGAGCCACTGTTCTCACATGAACAAGTGTCCTAACAACGTCTAGCTTTTCTTTTTTTTTTCTTTTTTTTTGGAGAGGTCTTTTGTTTGTTTGTTGTGTTGTGTTTTTTTTTGCTATAGGGCGCGTGCGCTGGCCAGAGAG